GATTCTGTGATTCTGTAACAGTGATAGGACAAGAGGCAATGGTCTCAAAGGAGGTTCAGGTTGGATCCTAGGTAAAATTTCTTCTCAGAAAAGTGTTGATGCATCGGAACAGGTTGCCCAGGGAGGAGGGGAGTCATCATCCCTGGAGGTGATGAAGAAAAGGGGAGATGTCACATTGGGTGACGTGGTCAGAGCAGTCACAGGCATGGGGCAGTGGTTGGACTATGTGATCTTAGTGATCTTTCCAGTTGTTACGATTCCATGGTTCTGTGATTATGGTACAACGGTCAGAACGTCCTCTAGAGAAGGAAACGTGCACATGGCAGAGGCCAAGGAAAAATAAAAATAATAATCATAATTAAAAAATAAACAAATGTCCCAAGACTGAATTTTCAGAGAACTTAATGCCTGTCTATAGATTTAACCTAGGTGTGCTTGTAGTAAAAGCACCTCACAGTGGGTTAGCTTGTCATAAAATCAGAGTTTGTAGAAAGCTAAGTCTTATTTTTATACTACTGGAATTATTATGCGATGTACTTAAACACATATACACATATTTAAAAACTCCTCCTATTAGAGAGATAGGAAGCAGCATGCAGGCTGGTGAGCTATGGTGGAGTGAAATCATTCTGTCCTCCTTAGTGAAAGCAGCAAAACTTCTGCTATGTGAATTCCAGAACACTTTGGCATGGATGAACCTTGCATCCCTGCAGAGCTGTATGAAAACTAATGATGATGGCAGTCTTTGTATACAGAGCAGCAGCATATAATGGCTTCTGCTTCTCATAGGAAATCATGCCCGTGGACACCTCCTGGGAGCAGCAATGAAGCACAAGTCCAAACTTTTGCTCAGGGCATGTGCAAAATTTAGCGTTTCAGACCAAAGTACATTAGGAGGAAAATTGTGAAGAAAACATATTTTCCTTCTGAGAAAATTATATATATATATATGTATATATATATAAATCTAATATGTAAAACTAAAATCAAATTCAAGAGTAATATTGGAAGGGAGTGGGCAGCATTTCCCATTGCTGTCCTTGATAATGGTGTTTCTGTGATGTGCACCATCACACCCGCTCAATGAGAGAGCACAGTGCATCTCCCAGGAGAGCCCAGGCAGGGAATGTGGCTCATAAAGAAGAAAAGGTGCTAAAGCATCCAGGCTCCAGCTCCCAGGTCATGGGCAAAGCACAGTGAAGAGCCAGCAGTGAGCTCATCTGGAAGAAAATTGTTTTATCAAAGCAGAGATAAGCAATGTGTGCCCACACTGATGTGCTGCCTTTCTATTTGCTAAGTGGAAGATTCAAACATGGAGAATGCTGCTCCAAATGGATGCACAGAAAATCAGATTTAATTTTTTGTTGCTGGTCTTGAAAAGTTTTTTATGTCCCGTTTTCTATTGATACTCTATTTTAACAAGAAATTCCCTTCCGCTTATAATCAGAACGTACTCCTTCATACCCACAGTCTCATACCTAGGTATTTTTAACATCAAATTATTATGTTTGCAGTCAGATTTCATTCATTATTTACTACAGCAAAATTGTGAGGATTGCATTTAGGTGGGTGATTAAACCAGGAGTGCTGGGATGCAAAGTGCCATTAACTACAGCACTGTTTTAAAAGGTTACGAGAACAAAATCTTTGGTCATTATGGAATGGCTAAGATTAGAAGATGGCTAAAAGTATGCTTTCCTTTCCTGAGGGGTCTATACAGTGGCTGGCAGCATTTTTTATTAGAACCAATATTAGTCAACAGTTCATTAATATCAATTATATTTAGTATAGAAAAATGTCATTGTTTTCTTTCTAGCTATAGGATTTGCTTGACTGCTGGCTGCTTAATCCAAGGGATACTGATGGGACTTGCCAGAGAAGCATATTAGCAGAAATAATAACCTCCAGTGTTTTGAGCCCGGAGGACTCAAACACTGAGTGTGTTGCTGGTCTTCCATTAAGGAGCACAGCACATTCTGTAGACAGAAAATAAGAACGAGGAGTAATTGTAGAGAAAGTGCATTAGCACTGACCTTTGTATCGTGTCAGTACATCAGAGGTGATCAATGCAATCTTCTTTTTGCCCCCATCTCGTCTGCAGATGTGTGTGCACAGGCGGCTGTGGGGGGACTGCTGTGTTGTAAGGTGACATTCCTGCTGTGCCACGGAAAGTTCAAAAGCTCTCCTTGGAGAGGAAGGGCAGCAGAGCATCAGGAGAGGAGAAGCGGTCGCACATGACCGTGCTCAGTTGCTGTGGGAACATATAGGAAGCAAAAGCCCGATAAATGGAATTGGACAAGCAGGCAGCACGTTCCCTCCAGTTGCTGCTGCTTGCGCTCTGAAAAACCCTAAATGCTGTCCCCAGAGGGACCGACCTGCTCGGTTCCTTCGCTCCCATTTCCTGCAGCAGCTTTATGCGTGCTGTCACTTGCTCCAGATGTTCTCGACTGGGTTGAATGCAGTAATGAGCTTGCAGGCAGGCTGTGCGTTTTCCTGATTTCTATTTTACTGCACCTTATACATTTTCTGATTTATTTATTTTTTTCTGGTGAGTTTTCATGTGGAAAGGAGAAAGGATGCAGCCATTCTGAGCCTCCCCTGGGACTTAGCGACCAGCGCCAGCGGGTGGCTGCATGGTGCTGTCAGTTGGCAATCACTTCCACTGTTGGGTCAATGCTAAAGGTGTATCTCACTTCTAGATGCTGTGAAATTTGAGTCTGTAATGCTGGTGTCTGTCATAAAGAAGAGATTTTAGCAAAATAGGCTTAGTTAATATGTGCCTTGCTGGGATTCTCCAGGTTCTTATCGGTGTGTGCACCCAGCTCGCCAAGTCAAGCACAACTGGACCCTTAGTATCACAGAGATAGTGAGGCTGATTTGTGTTCTTGGAGTAAGTGAAACAATGAAAAAGCCCTCCTGAACGAGACTCCTTGTCACAGCAAGCCATTCCTTCACTTGGAGGTAAATGACCTCAACCTTCATAGGAGGGTTGTGAAATCCTCTGTGAATGTGTTATTCTGCATCCCACCCCAGCATGGTGCCCACCTGTGGAGCAAGAGATTGTGCTGTGCTCAGTTCAGAGAGAGATGGAAGGCCTCAGTCAGCATAAAGGCACTTTACCAACTCTAATTCAACATGCTTTTCCTATTTATCCCTTTGGTGTTGGCAGCTTTCTCTGGATGTTCAAGGTTTGCTTTCATTGCTCATAGTTTGGCAGTGCTAGATCTGGAGCACTGCAGAGCAAGGCATCCCTCCATCCATTCACCCATCCATCCCAGAAGATGTGTAGGGTCAACTGTGCCAAGCAGCTCCATCTCTGATGGTGCAGAGCTGTAAATGTGGAGCACATCTTCCCATAGGAAATACTCTATGGAGCAGCAGGGAAGGGGTCAGAGGAGGCTTTCCTGTTGCCTACTAATTCCCTCTGAAACCAGATAGTGATAGTAGCTGAACCTTTCCCAGCACTGAACCCTAAAACGAATGACCAGGTTACTGCCAGCTGTCCACCTCATGCACCAGGGGCCGGGGGGGCAGCCTGGGGTGCTGTGCCCCATGACCCCTCTGCGTGATATGTGGGATTCAAGTGGGATCTGAGCAGTGTGCCCTGCATTGACACTTAGAGCCGTGGTTTTTGCCACTCATTCTTCTGCTGTGGTGTCAATCGGGTACTCAGCTGGTGGGAAATTTGCCCTGGATGTGCCCCCTGGGAACAGCGAGGCTTAGATTTGTAATTTTGGTGATAAGCTGTGGTCACTCTGATTTCTGGATTAAGATTGCTTCGCATCTGCCCGCGTGCCCTCCTCCCATCTGCAGCGAACATTTAAGTCTTTTTTTTTTTTTTTGCCTCTTTTAGCAGAGCCAGGCAGCAGCACCCTCAGTGAAGAACCAAACCCCAAACCCAGCAGAGCATTTGAGATGCAAAGCCATCCTGACAGCTCCCGCTGTGCTCTGTGAGCCCATCTGAACGCTGCCTCCCCGGGGGCTGAGCGTGGCGACAGATCCTGACACTCTGAATCAGCACAGACACACGCAAAAGCTGCTTTCTGCTATTGTCAGGGGAGCCTGGAGTGTATGTACGGATGTCTGCTGCCCTATTCCTGCAGCCTTGTGGGGTGTGTGTTAAGTGGTTGGGGTTTGTGAGCACTGTGCGGCCCCTCCGGCCACTGAACCCAGGCTGATGCGTAGCAAATGGAGACATCAGAGCAGCGTGGTGGAAGGGAAATGTTTTTTCCTCTCTGTGTTAAAAGTTGTTTCATTTAGGAAGTAAAAAGGTGCCAACTTCAAGCTAGATCCGGAATTCCTCCATGGAAGATAGTGGATTTACTTTGATTTTATGGGAAAGCAGAATGTGATTTGCAATGTTTAGGATGAAAGGCAAATCTTCTCTTCCTGCATTGGCTGAGAATGTGACATTCACATGGGGTGGACAGAAAACAGGTGCTGTGCTGGAAAATCAAAGAAGTAAGGCAGTGTCACCGGCGGTATTCTGGTTGTAGCAGAGAACAGGACAGAAAAGAGCAAGTGCTCCAGGGAATAAAACTGTTCTCATCATGTCTGCATCTACGTGTGGCTCTCCCAGTCCCTGGGGTCAGAAAGGTGCAGGGATTTTGGGAGAAGCCCTGTGGGCTGCTTCACAGCTGCAGTTGTGCTGTACAGTTTTGGTGGGCAGTGATTTATAATCCTTCAGATTATGCCTGAAGCTTTCAAGGGGAACATCACCTTTTAGAAACCAAGAGAACTCTTTTCCTGAGGGCTTGTTTCAAAGTGCCTGAAGCGTGTGGGGACAAACTAACACTGATGATCCCGCTGGCTTTCCCTGCTCATGTTCTCTCTCCATTCCTATAATTTCTTTGGCTTAACCGTCTGATCCCCCATCTCAGCTGAAATTTCTTTCTTTTTTTTTTTTTTTGGTGCTTGCTTTGTAGGGAATTAATGCAAGAAGCTGTATGCTAACTTATCTCCTTCCTCCTCTTGTTAGCAAGCAGCAGAACTCCTCCAAATCCAAGTCGGTTTGGGAGCAGCGAACCAGCCAGATCCGGATGCACAATTTCCGAGCCAGCTGTGAGGCTCTGTACAATGAACTGGACCCCGAGGAGCGGGTGCGCTACGCCACGACCCTACACATCCGTCCAGACATGAAGACCCACTTGGATCGGCCACTGGTGGTGGAGCCAAGGAGTGAAGGGAGGAACAACATCAGCAAGCTGAGCCCTGTGGATGTGCAGGAGGTGGAGCAGACCAAAGTCAGCTCTACCGATGGAGCAGAAGCTCCTCGGAAGCATCACCGACATCGGGATAAGGAGAAATTGGGAGAGCAAGAGAAGGGTGATGTGACCAAAGATGAGAATGGGGAATCTGGCATCAACAATAAGGAGGAGAGGCACAGGCAGCACAGAAGCCGCAGCAAGGAGGTGGAAGGGGGCAGCAAGGAAGGGAAAAGTGAGCGCACCAGGGGTCAGGAAGGAGGGAAGAGGCACCATCGCCGGGGGTCGGTGGAAGAAGGTGCTGAAAAGGAGCACCGGAGGCACCGCACGCACCGGCACTCCACAGAACGGCAAGGCAAGGAGGGCAATGGGACCATCAACGGGGCCAGGAGCGAGCGGCGGACCCGGCACCGTGGAGGGTCGAGGTCTGGGAACCGGGAAGGAGAGCCTGGCTCCAAGGGTGAGAATGGAGAGGAGCCTCACAGACGGCACCGGTTCAGGAGCAGGGCGCTGTCGACGTACGATTCGGTGGAGAAGGAGAACAGGGAGAAGGAAGGGGAGGTTGCTGAGAAGGAGCACCAGAATCATCAGCCCAAGTAAGTGAGCGACTGGAATTGCTCCTGTGCCAGCTCAGGGCCATGAGACCCCAAATGCCTTCCACAAATCAGCTTATTTCCCCTCCATGTGGCATTCCTGCCGTCTCTCCTGCACTCACACCAGTTACCACTATAATCTGCAGTTCCATTTTCCTTAAATCAACTATGATTGTAGTGTCATTAAGGTTGGAAAAGATCAATAAGGTCATCAAGTCCAACCATCAGTCTGTCATAGACAGAGGCTCACCAAGATGATTTTCATCCATGCTTGCCCATAGAGTGCTTCAGGTTTCAGGAATGAATTATCCTTGGTGTCAATACCAACAGATATACCAGGACATGACACAAAGCAGAGAATTTCACAGCCTTTGAAGGAAGCTGATGTTTGAGTGACACGCTTTTATGGGACATTCAGTCCAGCTTATAGTCCTCTAGGTTTTTTCTTTTTCATTGTTGAGCCTATGGACTGCATCACCAGTTGCTACAGCACTTGGCTACTAGTGAAATGGGTTCTTCCATTAAGAACAATGATATATCCCATTCTGTTTAATTTTTATGTAAGTCAAGTGAGAAAAATAGTATTGGTGAGACTAGTTAATAAAGAAGGATAGATTGCCTTTTCAGCTTTATTAATTTGATGGAAAAGAAATTGCACTGGGATCCCTTAGAATAGAGTTCATGTCACCATGGAGAGCTGTGAGTGGCACTGAGATAATCATTTTCCTGTCTATATTATCTTCCTTTCAGATGGGTTTCAAAACACTTTGCATAGTGTTTCATTTGATCATGTGCTCACTGAAATATAGTCGCTGCTGCGGAGGAAAAACTGCAGAAGCCATTTATGACACGTTACAGAGTGGTTTAGGGCTGGAAAAGAGAATCACCACATTTAAATAAGGCCTCGGGAGAACATTAAGCAGCAGAATGTCAGACTTGATTCAGAAAGCAGCTGATGCTGGAGAGCTGATGTCACTGCTGCATGCAAGTGCCGTGTGTCCTCACTCAGGAAACACAGTTATGAATCTCGTTAATTAGAATAAAGTTGCTTTCAGTGGCGCGGTTTCTCTTAATGCTGTATTTGGATGTTGCTTCAGGTCTCAGAGGAAAAGGTCACACCTTGTGCTTCCAGGAGGTTTTCCTGCAGCCTGTGAATTTTCTGCAGAGGACTTCTATGTAGAGAACAGTCTAGGAAAATCTAGCAGGAGCTGCAGCATATGTTCTATGAATCTTTGTCAGAGCGTATTTAATAACATCCGCTCTTCTGCCTTAGGGAGAATCAGTGTGAGATTGAGGCCAGTGGGAGTGTGAGCATCCCGGTGCACACCCTTCCCAGCACCTATCTGCAGAAAGTGCCGGAGCAGCCAGAAGATGCTGACAACCAGAAGAACGTGACACGCATGATTCAGCCGCCTCTGGACAAAACCACCACTGTGAACATCCCTGTCACCATCACTGCCCCACCAGGAGAAACCACCGTCATACCCAGTGAGTGCTTTGTCCCCCTGCCATTTGTTATTATCGTCCTTTTCCAGGGCCCTAGGTCTATAAGGGCAGGTTTACACTGTTCTGTAGACAGACCCCATATCCAGACACATGCTGACCAGCCTGTGGCTCATCCCGAGCTGTGTAGGCATGGAGAAGTCCCAAGAGCTGAGGCTCTACGAGCTTTTCCATTGTCAGCCACACAAGACTTAACCTGTCTTATTTTTCTTCTTTTTTTCCTCAACTGGTGATTTTACTCGATTGCAATACTGAGTTCCCATCAATCAAAGTTTATCAGACTCTTCCCTCCCTGGCCATTTCCTGTGTATCTAGCTAGAGATACAGCAAGGGATTGATTGAACGTGTCACTCACACACAATGAAATGTCATTTTGTTGCAAAATAAAAGGTAATAAAAAAACCCTCCTTCTAAGGCAGTATAAGCGAGTGAGGGTTTTGGATACCAGCTCCTGTGAATTAATAGAGAAGTGAATCTGTCTGTCTGAGAAAAGCATTCGTGGTCTGAAATGTCTTCCAGTTCATATATTGAACATTATTTTAAGTAAATAATCTTATAAACCCACTGCAAGTAAACTTATAATGGAAATTACAGAATGTATTTTCAACCTTTTGGGACTGAGATTCAGAATGATCTTCTAAAATGGGGTTGTGTAAGTTAAAAGCCTGATGTGAGATGGAATATGACACTTTTGTACGTGGGGAGCGATGCCAAAACTGAGGTGCACGATGCAGACATGAAACCTGCTGATCCAAGAAGTCCTTTTCAACTCTTAGCCCAAATATTACTAAAGCTCATCTATGAATTTGCTCTTTTACATTCTGCAAAGCCAATCCCGCTCCTCATTCTGTGGGAAAAGGTTCAGAATCATGAGGTTGGTCAGACTCATTGCCTTCTTTTCTTTCCAAAGATCCCCAGCTGATCTCTCCATAGTGGCTTATGATATTTGGGATGGGCTCTCCATCCCCAGTTTGGCAGCTCTTGTACAAATAAATGCAAGGTTTCTTTGTCTGCTCTGGGCATCTTCATTTCCTGCCTATTTCTGCTATATTGCTCACCAGTACAGCGGTTGAGAAATATAATTGCAGTACTGTAGTAAATAGCAGTGATAATAATCAAATGATTGTTCATCATCGCATTTAATCAACATATTCAAAGCTGTTTTCTATCCCAGCTGCATTGTTTGCATATCCAGCTGTTGCAGGCAGCCTGCTCTGTGCAGAGGGGAGATACGTTTTTAACTCTTTGATTTCTGTTTCCTGTAATTCATGTTTCAGTGAACAACGTTGAGTTCGAAAGTAAAGCAGAAGAGAAGAAGGACGTTGATGACCTGACAAAAAATGGGCCTAAACCAATCTTGCCTTACAGTTCCATGTTCATCCTAAGTCCTACGAACCCGTAAGTCCTTTGGCTCTTAAATGGTGCTCGTGGGTAACATGTACTTCAAGGATGGGTATTCAGACAAACATCATTAGCTCAATCTTCATCTCTGCCTATCAAAAGCACTGGAAAATCAAATAAAAGCTCGTGGAGGCTGCAGACCGGATTCTGCTGTTCAGCTCAGCTTTATTAGGAGAATCAATTGCCAGCTAAAGGGAAACGATGATGGTTTGGGCAGACCCTTCCTAACTGTGTGCAGGTGGGCAGTTATTTTGTCAGCTGTAGATCGCTGCAGGAAATGTGGCTGCCAATGATGAGAGCGATGGGCAGCACTGGGGGAAGACATTTCCAGGAGATGCAGGCAGGAGGTGGTTCTGATGGCAGCAAATCCTTGTAGGATCGTCTGCTGGAATTTGTATTTTTTTCATTCGATTACTCCCGCATCACCGAACACTTTGAACTGGAAATACATGAAATTTTTTTTTTCTTTTTTTTTTCTTTTTTTTTTTTTTTTCATTTTCTAAGGCTGAGAGTACAGCTTGTGGGATCTGCTGGGATTACAGCATTTCTTCTGCTTCAGGCATCTCTGCCTCACGGGGAGCTTTGTACGCAAAGGCTGTAAATAGAGAATGTGTCGCTTTGAAGGGCTGCAGGACTAGACAAGTGCAGCGGGGGTTGTAATAATTGTAGCATAAAGGCCTGTGAGTCACTTAAAGCAGTAACTTAGGGCAACAGAGGGTGTTTGAAACTTCTGCCAACCCAGATATCTGCCAGGAGCAGATGTGACTGTTTCTCTCTGGCCCGGGTAGACGTGTTGCATATCTTAGTTGCTGTTCTCTGAGGTTGTCCTCATGCATGCTCAGGTTCCAGAAGTAGGCTCGGACCTTTGCTGTGGCAAACTGATAAAAGAGAACAGTGGTTGACTCTCCGCTGTCCCAGTGAGACATCCTGGATGCCTGTGTAGTCAGTGGAACAAAGAGGGGCCGCTCCACGTGCTCATCTTTGACATCAGAAACGCATCCGTGGTGGAAGCTGTGGTCTGGCAGCCTCATGTAGGAGGCAGGCTGAATCTCTCCTTTAAATGCAAGTACCCACAAAGTAATTCAACCTACACCACTGCCCAAGGAGGCTGTGGATGCCCCATCCCTACAGGCATTCAAGGCCAGGCTGGATGTGGCTCTGGGCAGCCTGGTCTGCTGGTTGGCGACCCTGCCCATGGCACGGGGGTTGAAACAACATGATCTTTGAAATCCTTTTCAACCCAGGCTGTTCTATGATTCTATGATTCACTGCCTGCTCGAGGGTCATACATTCTGCCTGTGCAGCTGTATGAGTGGGGAAGACTGGAGACTCTCAATGCCAGGTGTAAGAGAGGGAGAATGACCCAAACTGCTGCTAATCTAATCTCCGAAGGAAATGAACTGCAGACAAGAGCCCCTTTTGTGTGAGTTCCATGAAAGAGACTCTTGTTCTTTTTGGTTTTCTCCAGCCACCTGCCAATGAAACCTCAGAAATCTTCAGGATAACTGAGCTGAAACTGCAGAAGGCTTTCCCTTATCAGAATGCTGCGATCATGCTGTACTATTTCAAATAATTTCCTTTGAATTTGTCTAAAATGCTGCTAATAGGAGGGAGAGCATTAGCTGGGGCGCACTCACAGTGCAGCAGAAAATTAAGCTGAGACAGACTTGAATTATGGAAATTGGACCCTGTCTGGTTGGGTAAGGAAACAGTATTTCCCTGTTATTTTGGGAACTCAGGTCTTTTTTGTTGTGACATGACCACCAAAAACAGGTGTTAGCTACAAAAGTGTTGCTAAAGATAGCAACCTCCACCTCCTGAGAGCAGGAGGTGGGCATCCCCAGGTCAAGAAGGGTCTGAGCTGAGCAGCAGACCGTGCTGACAAAAAAAAAAAGCAGGAAAATTTTGTCATTTGCTGCATATAATTGTCTTCTCTCACCTCGTCCTGAGCCTGGTGTTCCAGGGTTTGGCGGTGGTTGAGTTTTCCTGTTTATATCTCTTGCTCTCCACAGCAGAAGTTCTACAAAAAGACCATTAAAAAAAAAAAAAAAAAACGTTGCCTGGAAGAGAGGTATTATAACTTGGGACCCAAAATAAATAGCAAGATGAAGTCCCAGCTCTAAGAATGCCAGCAATTTGTTTCCCTTTTTCTGGGCAAGATGCAAACCCAACTGGATGCCCCTAAATGTGGCGGCTGCTGATTAGTTCTCTAGAGAGGTCTCTCTGCTTTCTGGCTTGGGAAGATTTTCACCCCATCTATTTCTAACTAGCTCCCTTCCAAACCCCATGGGGGACACATGTCCTGCCAGAAGGCAAAAGACATTTGGGAAACATTAATGAGATGTATCACTTTCCAAGTGCCACCCACCCTTTTAAAACACACATGCATTATGGTGGTTTCTCCAGCACCACTGATGGTTTACTCATACTTCTGCTTTCTCACCGCTTGTTGTGAATGATGAAGATCTAAAAATAAAGATGTTATTTCTGTGATGAATTGAATTTGATGCGTGAATTACAATTACAAACGTTGAAAATGTTGGTTTTCGTTTGTATTGATTCATAGAAAACATAGATGATAACCCTCTACTGTCAAGGAATAGAGTAAGGAGTTCAGGAAACCACAACGTTTTCCTTTGTGTTGCTTCATATCAAATCTGTACCCTTGATATTTATAATTCTTTTTCATTCTGCAACCATTAGTAATCCAGAGAAAAGGAAGATGTAGGTCAATGTGAAAAGTAAGATCTGACTCTTCAGACGTTTGGTTAGAGAAAATGCAATGCAGTAACTGAATTACATTCTCCCATAACAAGGTTGTTGGTTAGCTGCACGTGTAATTTGATTCTTGACAGAACTGAAGACCTGTGTTCGATGGACATATGCAGAGTTCTCTGCATCTGTTGTGAAGTGTTTGTAAATCAGCTGAAATATGTGAATAGTTTTGCTTTGCTTAGAAAATGAAGCATTTGTTACTTTTCTCAGACAACATTCATGAACCAGAAGATTGAACTCATCAAATATATTATGTTAAAGTATTTGTCCAACGTATAAGGAATGGCTTGGAATAAAGTGCAGGCAGAGGTTCTGTGCAAAAGAGAGCCTATGAGAACTAACAGTCACAGTTACAGTGCCAGATTCAGCTGAGGTTCTCAAAGTACATAAAACATATCAATTTCAAAGGGATTATTCGATATTAGAAGGATTTCGAAACTAGTTTTGAACTCACAGGACTTCTTTCTGTGAGTTCAAAGTGAATAGGTTTGAAGGGCGTATAATTTGTCTTTCGGGCGTTCAGACTTGATTCTTTCCTTCTGATAGTGCTCTTGTGATAGATGCACATCATTGCTTTGCAGAAGGAGCAGTACGGAGATGTTAAATGCTTTATCATAAATCTCACCGCAGAACTGTTGCAAACTTGAGATTAAAGCTGTTAATCCTGGTTTACATTCTCTTATCGTTACTGTGATAAGAATCCTAGAGATGTTCCTCTTCTTGAACACTGTCCTTCTGCCGCCGTGCTGTACTTAGTGCTGCGGGGCACTGCTTCCAGCACCTGCAGCACTCCTCCATCTGCTTCTGTCGTTCGCAGGATCCGGCGTCTGTTCCACTACATCGTCAACCTGCGCTACTTCGAGATGGTCATCCTCATCGTCATTGCTCTCAGCAGCATTGCCCTGGCAGCAGAAGACCCCGTCCAAGCAGAATCACCCAGGAACGATGTGAGTACCAGAATAAAGTTGTGCTTCTTCTCCCAGCAGTTATGCATGTGCAGCTTCCATTCCCACCTCCAAAGGAGCAGGATCTGAGGAAGCAAGAAGTGGTATGAAAGCGGCTTGTTGCCTTGGCATAATGAGTAAAATCAGCAGAAAATCTATTTATGCGTGGGTATGAAGCCAAACTCAGAAAGTTCGTGTTCTGAGAAGTGGGAGTGTGACCCCAACCAGTGCAGCATTGGTCACTGCAGCAGGGAGCGGGGCGTTCCCAAGCACACCTACAGCAGAACAAGGGCACAGAGGTGGTCACAGCCTGCTACGTGGGCACCAGTGAGCATGCAGAGCTGGGGGTTAAGTTCACAAATTGCAAGATGCAGTTGCCTGATTTTAGAACTTCCGACGTAGTTATCTGTGCCATGCAGCTGGCCTCCTGCCTTTGAGTCTTGTCAGTATCATCTTTTTCCAACGAGGATCAAGGAATCTCTATAGAGGTAATGAGCTGAAGTATCTACAAGCGATCTTTTTTCCACATCCTTAATAACTGTGCAATGAGCTTTAACAAAAGGGTTTTATCACTCTCTTACGCTCCCAATGTCTTTAATAATCTTATCATCAGTTACAGCAGAAAAACCCAGACCGCTACACAGATGCTGGCAAACAAGCTTTTTAGGAAAGGATGTTCAAATATTTCGATTTGTAATACCTATTTTGTCTTATTAAACGTGCTGTGTATGCAGGTGCACTGAAGCAACCCATGGGCACGCGCTCTGTGGTCTGGCAAGGACAGGGAAAAAATGCTAAGGGTTAAAACAGGATGATTTAAGTCTATGCTCAAAGTGTCCGACAGCCCCCATGAAGAGGGTATTTATCCATCAGCACTGTGTCTAGTAGACCATGGCTAAAAGAGACCTTTTACACTTTGCTCACATGCAGATCATTTCGGTGTGCAGGCTCCCCCTAACACTTATTTCTCTTTCCAATTTAGGCTCTGAAGTACTTGGATTATATATTTACGGGTGTCTTTACCTTCGAGATGGTGATCAAGGTAAGAGCCTTTCCACACAAATGTTCACCTCGCCTATCAGATTCACACTCATCTATTTCTGGGAACCTGCAAAAAGAAGGTGGAGTGCAGCAGAGCTTGCTGGGGGTGTTGGTGATGAAAAGCTTTAAATCAGGAACAGCATTCAGAAGTAGCCAATACGTAACAGATGCTTCTCTGTAGCCGCCTTCCTAATTCTTTTCAGTCTCACATTTCACAGAGGAAAATAAAGATATCTTTAGTAGCTGTGGTTGTGTAAGAGGCTGAGAAAGGTGGGTGCACGATGCAGAAATGTCTGTGCGTGGCTCAGGACTCAGCAGCTGATGAACCTCACTGAGACACGTCTGCTCCTTCCATTTTCTTTTGATGCTGATCAGGAATATCTGTAGCAGCTGATGCTTGGTTTATCGAGTTTCACGTTGAACATTTAAATTAGAAGATCCTTAGCAGCATTTAAGGAAGAATCAGGCTCACGCAGAAGCAAGGAAGGCTGCACAGTGAGCAGCATCCTTTAGCAAGTGATCCAGAGTGGGAGTTTTCTTTGCTGCATTTGGCTGTGGGTTTTCTCATCCCCTCTTTGTGTTTCATTATAACATCCTATTCCCAGCATTAATTCCTCCTAAGCTGGTAGGACTGAGGTAGTATAAAATTAAACTATTATCACACACAGATGTCCGTTCATATAAATTAACGTGCGTCTATGAAAAGAATTTATACAAGAGTTAGTGTGGTTTTCTGGCATGCATTTGGTTATAGTTTATTGGCTTCAGATTTGGCTGTGATGGAGCTCTTTGTGTCCTTATGGAGATACACAGCTTGACTCAGTATCTCCACATTGCCCAGCTGGTGTCAAACCTAGAAGGGTTTGTGAAGGGTTGTTGGTTGAGGATGTTCCTCTGTGCCTCGTTAACTTTAATTTGATACTTGTTTTGCTAGAACTTATTCTTTGGATGTGTTTTTTCCTAAGATGATTGACCTGGGGCTGTTACTCCACCCTGGCTCCTATTTCCGTGACCTGTGGAACATCTTGGACTTCATTGTGGTCAGTGGGGCCTTGGTGGCATTTGCATTCTCGTAAGTACATTTTTCTTACCATCCAGGTTTCTAAGGGAATAAACTGCAGAGGAGGCAGCAGCATGGTGCAGGGGTAGCTCAGGTGCAGTGTTTGTGAATCAGTTCCTCAGAAAAATATCCGGTTTTTGCTCTTTAGCATCTTACAGCTAGGTGGGAAAAGATCTAAATTTGATCTCTTGAAAATTCTCCCAGCCTTGGAGTGAGTTTATTCACTGTTCGTTCAAAGGTTGAGCCAAGATGTTGGAGACCTTCTGGCCACCTTTTCAAGGAAGCATCACAACGCTTTGTGGCAGTCTTCTCTCTTCAGGCAATCGTTTTAAAAATTGTCATTGCAATGAAAGAATAGTTGATAAATGGAGCTGAGAGCTCAGTGAACTTCTTACAGAACATTATCCCTAGAGTTATGGATACTTATGATTCACATTTATGATTCATATACCTTGGCATTTCCGCCCTCCTCTCTCGTTCAGCGTATTTGTATTTCCAGAGAGTTTCCCTTTAATGCTAATTGCTCCCTCTATTTATGACATTAAATAAGGTTCCATGTGCTTCTTTGGTGTCAAAAGGGTTTTATGCAACAAACACAGATAATTTGTTTTTATAAAATGAAGATTAGCTCTTAGTTGGAACATTTTTGTTCTCAGAACAGACCATAGGAAGAGCCGTGCAGGTTCCTCAGAATCTGGGGAGCTCAGAGGTGGATGGCAGAAACAAATTTACCCCCTGTAAATTTCTGGGACACAGAGTCACTGTGGTGCAAAAATTTTTCCGAGAAGTTCTGTGCTTGACCAGGAAGTGGGCTTTGAGAATTGGCCTGTTTAATTTTCTGCTAAATTAGACTTGAATAATTACAGTGAACGATTAGCAGCCCGTGCCCAAAATCCACTCACCTGTTTGTTGACACGATGATTAGTGAAGATGAAGAAATTAGCAGTGTTTTACTTGCTAATGAGAAAACCCATTCACCTTTGTCAGGGAACTGTGGAAGCGTGTCTTGCTTCCTTCAGGCTGATGGTAATTTTTGGGCAGATGGCCATATCTGCTGCTCTTCTGACATGCTTACGTGTTGCTGCCAGCATAAAGGATACTGGGATCTTTCTGGTAATATTGGTCTGGAATATTTCTCAGGAGGTTTTCATTTTCTGAGGTGTCAAGATCCCCTTCACATGAGAGCATTTGTATTTTAGATCTGTTGTTCTTCATAGCAAATGCTGGATAAAAAAAGTGTCTACAGTGATTGGACTCATGCAGGCAGTAGATGAACAGGACATGGAATTTCTGGAGAACCAGTTGAGGAACAGCACTTCTCCTTTACCAAGTAGAATGTATTAAAGACAGAACAGAAAAAGCAGACCTAAAGTCATATGCACAAATTCTTCAATCCTAAGCTTGTATTTGAGAGCAATATTTTGAATAGAGATACTGGGCTTTGGGCTTTCTGTGCCCAATCCTACGCTACATAATTATTTTGATCTGGGAAAAAGTTTTGCCCAATACAAGTATGTTGAAAGGGGGCTGCCATCTCATCCCTTGTTACAGACTTTGCCACTATTGATTATCACTCATCTCCTCTGGAAAAAAATGATTTCTCTGTTTTAAGGTAGGCAGTTTGGAGATAGAAAGGCTGAAGAGAAAAAGAAATGTTAAGTATTATTAGTCACAGGTACGTAGGTTGCTCTGAAAGTAATGCCTCCTATCTATTCTTATGGAAACTACAACACGTACAAAGAGCACGATAACACTGTTTGACATAACAAATTCTCAGCTATGAAACTCTGTTTTTCAACATATTCACCACCATTACCTATGCATTTACACTAGCAATGAACGATGTCATGCTTGTAAAAATCTGCACCAGCAGAGGTGACTCCCTGTTTCACAATTGCTATGATGGAATCATTCCAAGGAAAATGTTGCCCATGTGGTCCATCTTTCATCAGCCCGAACAGATGGAAGGCAGAAGGCACCAAATCAGTGGACGTGGTGGGACAGTCCTACAAAGATTGGCAACGTGCTCCACGGTCTTCAAACTGGTGTGGGACCTGGTGTCATCTTGTTGCAAGAGGAAAGCTGTCTTCTTTGACCTGACCCTAGAAGTTTGAGCCTTCAGCTTAGTCAGCATTGCAATGTAATGGTCAGAGTTAATGGTTTGTCTGGGTCCCAGAAAATCCTGAAGAATCACACCCTACCTATCCCAAAAGACAGCGCACATCACTTCACCCTCTGAGGGTTGTGTCTTGAATTTTTCCTTCAACGGAGAGCTCATGTTGCAGCTCCATGATTGCTCTTTTGCCTGTAGTAGTGATGACATCATGTGTTGTCACTGGTAATGATGTGATCCAGGAAACAGTCACCTTCAATCTTATATCAGTTCAATAGGACCTGACAAACTTGCATAAGGTGTTATTTCTGTTCCTTCGTGAGCATTTGTGGGACCCGTCTGGCACAAACTTTGTAACATTCTGACATTGTCACCACCGTTTCCAATGCATTGAAGCTGATATTCAGCTCCTTACACAGTTACCTGCTGATTCAACCTGCTGATTAGCATAGATGAGCTGATCAAAGTGTTCTCCATTTTGCGGAGCGAGGGCTGTGCATGTCTATCTGGAATGTGGCTCATCACCACTGCTGGAACACACCACCCACCTCTCACTGTGCTGACATCTGCAGTTTGGTCTCCGTAAACATTCAGCAAGTTTTGAGGAATGTCAACGGGTGTCATTTTTTTCTGCATGGAGGAATTCAGTTCCCCCCCCCACTTTGCTTCATGCACACTTCCATGTCAGACACCGTTCTGTCAGGCTGCCCCTCTGCTGCCATCAGTTGCACAGCAACAAAACGTAATGGAATATTGGTGAGAACTTTCAACCTCTACTGCTGTACCACTAACATCTGCCTATGACATCGTGGGACAGTGTAATAAAATAGGAGGCATTACATTTGGAGCAGCCCTCATATTGGCACACATTGCAGTATTACCCAGTTCTATGTTTCATCGAGGTTTTCCCTTTTGCCATTAGGAATTCAAACATTATAGACAGACTGGGGAAAGGATAGTGGGTAAATTCTTCTGAGCCATAAGAGCAAACATCAGGGTTTGCCTCTAAAATGTTTTCTCTTCAAAAAGATTTTATTTTGGACAAGTTATCCATTAGAATGAATAATTTTTAATCCTTCTGAGTCTTTTTGTGCTCAGGTTTCCCATTGCTCACATTGGACCATGAATATCTAACAACCCCTCATCGGCTTTTAAATAAATTACTTGTACATCCCCTGACTGTGCTTCATAATAGTGTGCCCCAAGCTGTTTCTATTTTACATGCTCTTTGAGCAATTATTGAACAGGGATTTACACAAGTGAATGCATAAAACCTGTCTGCCTATTTACTATCTTCCAGATTAAAGTGAGTCAAACCTATTTCTGAGGCTTGGAAAAATTTGAATTTCTTCTGTGATTTTTATTATGACTGTAACTGCTGCTACGTGCCCATATTTCAGCTGGCAGGGAGAGTGCTGACATAGAACTGAGAGAACCCTTCTGCTATCTCTGCTCTAATCTGAAAGCAGGAAATCCAGTCATTCATGGGGAGATGGCTGGCTCTCTGTTCCTGCTGTCCAGTTATGAATACTAACAAGTATCAGGCTGTTCAGATGAAATCTGGATGGATAGCAAGCTCCTTAGCACAACTGTGCTGTTTGGTTAAGCCAAACAGATGCACTGACCCTGCTGAATTTTGATAATCCTGACAATGAGCTTCTGAGGAATGAACTGGGTAATTTTCATTGTTTTGTGAGTGGGTTTTTGCAAATACCAGAGTCCTGTCACCCATCACTGATGTCACTGTAAAAATGTACTTAATGTAGCTGTTAGTAGTTTCTGTTTGCAGGAGTATGTGATCGCCATTCAGATGGTGTGAGTTAATTTGTTCTTGACCTGGTGGGTGTCCAGTCAAGGTGATGTGATGTGTCCCTGAAAACCTAGGAAAAACAGACATACCTCTATCTGGAACATTGCAACAGACTGTTTATTTAGCCATATGAGATGGCATCAGTCACTGCTGCAAGGTACATGGTGTTCAACTCAGTCTTTCAAACCAGCCTTTCTGCCTGCAGCTTTTGAAGATACTCTGTGCTTTGCTGTAGTTTAAACATTTTTGAAAGCAAGATCCCCAGTGAGATGCTGGAAAGACTAATAATAGTGATGATAAAAAAAAATAATAATAATGTCCTCCGTTTAGCAATGCATTTCAAAGGGAAATACTTTTCTTTTTCTGGAGATAAATTTGCCACAAACACACAGACATGTTTTAGTCTTTAGGGAAACAGAAGCAGCGGAGCTTAAAGCAAGCTAGTAAATATGTCATCCAAATTTACCAGCCCTAGGTGTAAAGCCCACTTGTTCCACAGAAATAGCTGATGAACAGGAGCAGAGAGATTGCATTTTTCCATTTTTGGCACTGGAAGGGTGGCTGAGATACAGAGAGTTTCACGCTACTCCCTGAGAAATCAGATGACGTTTGCCAAACAACCAAAGATATAACCTCCCAAAGTGTCAGAGGGATGAAGGTCTATTTGCCCTGCCTACTTATAGAATCACAGAATCATTAAGGTTGGAAAAGGCTTCTAGGATCATCTAGTCCACCTGCCTACCTGTCACCAATACTGCCCGTTAAGCCCTGTCTCTACGTACCACGTCTAGAAGGGCTGAAGCTCTGGGGGGATGTGTGGGTATGGCTGCACAGCCATTCTGTTGCTTTCTTGTGTGGTTATTTTTACGAGAGTGACTCGAGGGGAGTGGGATGGGATGGGCTTCTCTGCCAACACGTGTCTGCAGTTGCATGGGGTGCACTGTATAGCCTTATGTTTGTCATTGACTCTGCTCTTTCTTTGTCTTCTTCTTGCTGGAATCTCTCTCTAGGAGTTTCATGGGGTAATATGTTATTCCTGTATCTTGCTGCACTGTTATGCCTGTCAAATGTGTGTACACACACTTACCACTGTGGAAATGGTCCATGTTACACCCATCGCATCGACCCCTCTGTCACATGATTCAGTGAAAAGTTATCTTAACATTGTCTAACCCTTAACAGCTCTCATTCATTCCAGTTTCCTTTAACCACAGGATAAAAGCAGACTAGAAAGCCAGGTGACAGGTGCTGCCTTTGACCGGAATGTCAGCAACTACAATAGATCAGCATCAGAAATACTTGAGGGCACCATTTAGTGGCTGCATTGCTGATGTGTGAGTTCAGAAAGATCATTAATACCTAATTGTAAAGGAGTGGCTTTGCTCTTGGCAAGTAAGCACTGGATCTAAAGCAGCTTTAGGTCTGCTGACACAGCCTGGCCCTGCTGACCTGAAAAGAGTGGGAGAGATTCTGAGAGGTCGGGAGGTGCAATTTCCAAAGGAGGAAGTATGAAAAGTGACATTTAGGCATCTGTGGTGGCTGTTTGGTTGGTGGCATGGAGCAGCTTTCCCTTGGGGATGGCAGGGGACACGGCAGGGCCTGCAGTCACAGCACAGCCCTGGGCCAGCAGTGGGGTGTGCAGCCAGGAGAGCTCTCTGAGGCCCCAAATTCGGCTGCTCATTTCTTCCTTCTTCTCCCTGAGACACAGCAGAAGGCAGCTCTGAGCTCAGGCAGGGCAGGGTGACCTCCTTTCCTCCTCACTGGGGCATCCATGCTGCCTTGGAGACCTCAGGTAGCTGCTCCAGGAAAACTGGCCTGATGCAACCAGAGCTGACATAAGTTTGGGGTTTGTTTTTGTTTTTTTTTTTCCTTTTCTTCCTTTCTGTTTCCCTCCCTCTGCAGGTCACTGGGTCTGTTTGCTGTCTGTCTTTCTCCTGCTTGCTCTTCCGTAGTTCTTACAAATTTGGTAGTTTTTACAGATCTTTTCCTTCCGTACCCGTTTAGTTTTGTGGTGACAAATGTGTAGTTGTGACTCTGGTCAAATGTGTGCTTGCATACCCCTTTTGACAGAATTTTAGTTCCATCTAGACCTTTTCTTTTGGGATTTGTGGCTTTTGTACTAGCATAGTGAAAAAAACCATTACGGTCCAGGTAACTCTTAAACACAGCAAAACCATTTCTTCAGGTTCTACTTGGCTGGAATAGTTGCAAATTACATTTAATGAAAATGCAGTTTGCGATGCTTTGATTTTGAGCACCAGTCCTTCAGAAAAGCTTTCTCTTATGCTAAAGCTCTTAGTGACAAGAAGTAAGAAAGATTCTTCAGGATCCTCTGTGTGACTTAGATCATAAATCCCATTAACATTTAATCAGCTCATGCTCTTAATTTGCTTGGGTGTCTGAAAGAAAGAAAAAGAAAAATCAACCCTTCTTAGTGTCCTTCGTTCAGGCAGAAGGAATTTCTGGAGACTGGAGCTGTCTCCCTTCACTCCCCAGCTCTCAGGGCAGTCTGCACACACTTCCTCGGGTGAGGAAAAAGCCACTTAATCCATCATGCAGCAAAGAGGAAGGATTTGCTGTCGCCAGAAGGTTGGGTTAACCATCCCCCAGCATTAAATCCACAGAGGTTATTGCTCCGTGCCTGGGGCCAGCCCTTTCATACCTGAGATGGCTCCTCCAGAGCCAAGAATTATCTCTGTTCCCATCTCAGGCTTCACTTTCTGGAGGCCTTACTGCTGCAATTGTTTTTTGACACAAATAAACAGCAGCACAGCAAATAGGATTTCAGATCTCCTGGATCAGGAATAGTGGGAAGATACAGGATGGAAATTTTCTGTGGTTCAGCCTTGAACCAGTTGAGGACTGTCCAGGTTCAGTTGCTACCTGTGAGAGGCATTGCTGCTAAGCTGGGCTGTTGTATCTACAACACAGAAATGTGGCTACAAACAATCAAAGATTCAATATATTTCTGGACCAAGGTGTCCCTTCCTCTTCCTATGTGCTTTTTCTTTTCTCCTGCTGCCCCTCAACCCTCTCTCCTTTGCTTTTCTCTCACTCCTGCATCCCCCAGCTCCTACTTCTTCACTCCCTTCTGCTCTGCTTCTTGCTCAATAGTAGTTGGTGACTTGAAAGCAAGTATGCAAAGCTGAACATGGAGTAAATCTTCATTATCTTCAAACTTAAAGAGAAAACGAGCTTAACGATGCTGTCTGTCTGCTTCATGCAGACCAGATTAAAGGGTCTCTGATACAAATTGAAAAGATATTCCTTTTAAATATGTAATGGCTCTTTTGCAGTATGAAATCGGTCCTATAACTCCATGAGCATTAGCACAACCACATGGACACAAGCCCTGCGAGCAGGCAGCTTCCATCTGCTGCTGCTGCTAAAATGGCCCTAAAACAGCCCTGAGAGACTGGGAGGGAGAGAGAGTGGGTAAATCTCATTCCTTTCTTCCTCTTCTCCATTCCTACTAAATCACATGCTGAGGCAGGTTATATTCTGTGTATACATCATTAGGACAAAACCTATAGCCCTCCAAAAATTACTTATGTCTCACTTCTAATTGTATTTCAGGACAGCAACAGTTACAAATAATTGTGAAAAGAAGTCTGGATGTGACACAGGAATGTGTGTTTCAATGCTGCAGATTCTGGCCCAGTATTTGGACTGAGTAACACAGTCTTAGTGTTGAATTTCTGGTCTGTTAGAAGTGACCAGATTGCAAAAAGCCACTCTGCAGAGCTCAGAAATGTCGGTTTCCCACAAAAGGAGGTCATTTCTTCCCAGTCTCCATACTTCTCTAGCACAGTGCAGAGGGCTGGCTGCTAACAGGCTGTGGGTTGGCTTTGCAGCTCACTCCCTGTCCATACAGCGAGGGTCTCTGGTGTTGTTTGTGTTTGTATTGCTTTCCTGTTAGACAAACTTTGTTAGCAAGCTGAAGACTAGCGTAGGTATATCAGCATCTGCTCAACATGTTGTTCATTCCCACCTGTGTTACCCCAGTTCAGCCTCAGACCCAAACCTCCAGTCATGAATTAAACTCTGTTAAAGATTTCCATCCCATTTTCACTTCATACTAAATGAAGGAGAATGCCTTTTTTTTTTTTTTTTTTGCTGTTGGATTGGAAGAATATGTAACCATGTGGGGTTCCATTTATTTTGGAAGTGCACGAGAAAAGTAGCTCCTTTCTCCCCCTAGTTCCTCTTTATGGTGACAAGAGTAATGGTCTCATGTCATGCACACACAAAAACTAAAAAAAATAGTGTGACTTACAGTGCCTGCATGCATAAGTGCATCCATAAGTGGAGAGTTGCCCTGGTGCCGTTCCAGGCATGTAATATGCCATCATATTACATGGTCCAGCATGGGTTTGGTAGCATGTCTTCCAAAAGAGACCTGAGGACAAGAGTATGGGCACACAGAACAGCTCTGGTCCTGAGCACAGCACTGCCTCTCCCACAAAGTCTCTACTGATCACTGCCTGCTGGTCCCAACACAACTCCCCTGCTAGAGAGGTACCAGAAGCACACAGAAATGTCCTCTTGTCTTCCCAAGCTGCCTGAGGCAGGGTGAGCACCCAGTGTGACCTTCTCACTTTCGAAGTGAGCCTCCCGGTGGCATCAGCCCATATGTGCTGCCCAGCTGTGAGTGATGCCAGACAAGAGCTGGGCTAGGAAGGCCACTGGCTCCTTGGGGACGCTTAGAAATAAGGTGGGAAGTACTGGAGAGCACGAGGGGCTGAGTCTGGCAGTGTCCATGTGCTGCCCCAGCTTCCCAGCCCTCTGCATCCAACGGGAGGATGGCACCCAGCACAAAAACATGACACCCCCTGGGTAGCACTGGGTGGTTTGCTGGTGTCCCGAGGACCAAACTATTCCCTCTGTTGTTCTTGTGCCTTTCATACCTTGCAGAGGAACCAAAGGCAAGGACATCAACACGATCAAGTCGCTGCGGGTTCTGCGGGTCCTCCGACCACTGAAGACCATAAAACGGCTGCCAAAACTAAAGGTTAGAGAACAACCCCCAAAGCTTTCTTTCTCTGGAGGTCTGCGGCAGATCTGAGTGGAAGCGGATGGAGTTAACTTCATCCAAGCTAATTCTGTTTCTTTTATTTTGTTGCAATACGTCTCCTTGCCAGATTTATAAAAATAGCCATGCAGATGTTTGGCAAATGTCAAACACTTGTTGATTTTGCAAACGTTGTACGCAGTTTATGAATTGTTGTGAATCCACATAAAAATCAAAGTTCTAAAAAAAGAAAGGAAAAGAAGTTGCACGTAAATTAAATTACTGTTTGTACATGTGATGCTCCTAGAAATGATACACCAGAAAATAGGTTTTCCACAGCCTGTCTGAAGAGAAATGTCATTGCTGTAGGAGGAGTTCTAATCTGTTCATCTCTTCTGTTAAAGAATAGATGGTGTGGGGTTTTATAGCAGTACCCTTTCATCTCCAGAATACTAAGCTGCAAAGGGAAATAAATGTAATGTCTTGTGGTTACTTATTCAGCACCATCTCAAGGATGCTTTGAGATAGAGCCAGCCCTGCGAGGAGAGTGCAAGATGTTACAAAATTTAATCATTTCTGCATTTTGGAATTCTGGAGTATCTATTATAGAATGTCTTCATGTCTCAGTGCTTTCAGGCTGTTTTCTGTGAGGGATGGGGGAGAAAGGAAGGGTGCTTTTGGAGTGCTGAAACAATGTCTGACAATTCCTGTTTTCACATAGTGCTACATAAAAATTAGAGTTACTTATTATACAGATTTGCCTTTGTCCTTACCCGCAATTCATGCCTAAATAATTTTCATTTCATGCATTTTTATGTGTACTAAATTTACCTCACAAGATAAGGAAGGGTAGTGGTGAACAATGTAGAAAATGGTCTTTGTTTGTTTGGAAGTCTGAACTGCACGATGCTTGGGTCGTGCAACAGTCAAGAGCAGCTCTGTCTTACTGCAGAGTGCAAAGCGTTTGCTTTTTGTTGAATGACTTCCTTACTTTCAAGTCATTTTACAGCGTAATTTTACCATTTCTAAAGAAGTATTCAGAAATCTTTGTGAAGCAGAAGTCAGATTCACATGGCTTGTCTTCAGAATTCTTTTCCATTTTTTTTTTTTCCTGGATGAGATCCTGTACACAACAATCAGCAAGATTAATAGAGTGATTAGAGATACTTCCAGTGTTTTAATTTTGGGTTTCTGTGTTGCATTAGGAGCATAATTCTGGGAATTATTCACTTCCATTCAGAGAAACAGAAACAGCATTGTACCAGCCCTGTGCTCAGGCAGCAATGCAGCTTCATTTCTATTATTATGACAAACTCCTCAGACTAAAATTAAGCTGCAAATTACTTGTAACAATGAATCGGTGACTAATAACCAAATAATAAATGTATGAGAAGTTATTCACGGAGAGTTCAGAAGTGACATATGCTCACTAGATTATTCATACTTAATTTTGATAGACACTTCATTACTGTTCAAAGTATTTGGTTGTTTTGCATCTGGTATGTTTTTCCTTATTATTCAAACAGTTCAAATAACAGCCAATGATTGGCAGATTTCATGAGGTTTTTCCCAATCCATTGTGAATAAATTAAACACAAGGAGGTTTTTCATTTCGTAATTTGCCATGGGAATATTTGCTTAGGGCTGATATTTCTCTGGCTTCGTTGATTTTGTGGGCAAAAAAAACCCAACAACTCACGCCAAACTCATCAAGCAAGCAAGAGTTGTAGGAAGCCAATGTTTTCTCCTACCAAACACTTGGTGTGCAAGCCAATGAAAGCACACACGGGTTAGGTGTTGAGCAGCTGCTCTCATTTTCTTCTCCTTTCTTCTGACCCCTTAACCTCGTTGTCTTGTTGTCCCCAGGCTGTCTTTGACTGCGTGGTGAATTCCCTGAAGAACGTCCTCAACATCCTCATTGTTTATATGCTCTTCATGTTCATCTTTGCTGTCATTGCTGTGCAGCTCTTCAAAGGGAGATTCTTCTATTGCACCGACGAGTCGAAAGAGCTGGAGAAGGATTGCAGGTATGGCAGGAGCAGGGGCTGTGGAGGGACCCCATGGTTCCCGTGGCTGTCCAGGAGCTGCATCACTTGGGTGTCTGCTGGGCTTGGTGAGGGCTCCCGTAAGTAAGAGCAGTGCTTCAGTATGATTATCTTAGAGGTGAATTTTCCCTTTTGCCTTTTTTTTATGGCTTCTCCATTCCTACTCTTAGCTAGCAAATGATTACTCAAGTGGTTAACGGTTTAGGGGAACAGGTTCTTTCTTCCATTTAGGACTGGGTATGAATTCAAGATAAAGCACAGAAGTGATTTGGGAGGGGTGGCATGATTACTCTTTCTACCTGCTGCCTTTATCCTCAGAGCTTGCACAAATTAAGAAAACAGACTGAATAAATGATCAAAAGAGAATCAGTAGAGAGTTAAAGATCTCCAATTAGCTAGGAAAAGGGACTGCATTTGAATCATAGAATCATAGAATCACCAGGTTAGAAAAGACCTAAAAGACCATCCAGTCCAACCGTTCACCTATTACCAATAGCTCCCACTAAACCATGTCCCTCAACACTACATCCAGTTTGACTGTTATAAAAGCCCTATCATACTTTATCCTTTGCAGCAGACTGCAATAGGAGGTGCTTGCTTCCCCTATGGATGTTTTCCATGGCCTCCAAGCCAAGCACTGTCTCTTTCTGCTCACCTGCATCACTCTCTGCTGCCACCCATGTACCATAGGGCTCTCCATGCAGCTCTGCTTTGCAGCAGAGCAGATGCATTGCAGAAAAGTGCAGAATTGTAGAAGAATTTAGGGTGGAGGAGAACTCTCCAGATGTTGGGTCTGAGCCTCTGATACTCAAATCAGGACAAGTTAGATACAGCTTTCAAGTAGGAATCAAAGACTGCTCCCCAACAACCAGCACGGTCTTCTGTGGGGTCAGACAATTTGGGGGTCACCATGCTGTTAGCTGCCAGCTTTGCCCAATGTACTGTAGACGTTTATTTCGTTCTGAAAGCTCAGGCCCAGTCCTAAGGCTCCTCTAGCCTTTACTTATATTACCTTTGTTTTAACAACTTGACCTAGTGGGAGGTGTCTCTTTTCATGGCAGAGGTTGGAACTGGAAGGGCTTTAAGGTCCCTTCCAACCCAAACCATTCTGTGATTCTACAAACCTTGGGGCTGTTTCTTGGCTCTGTATGGCTGGAGTCTGTTACTAGGGCTTTCCAATGCTCTCACTGAGTTATAGCACATGACTGATTTGGTTTAACTCTCCCATTTGATCTGAATCTCTGTTGTTCCTAGGGGTCAGTACCTTGACTATGAAAAAAACGAGGTGGAGGCGCAGCCCAGGGAATGGAAAAAATACGAGTTCCATTACGACAACGTGCTGTGGGCTCTGCTGACACTTTTCACTGTCTCCACAGGAGAAGGGTGGCCAACGTGAGTACGTGGGGCTGGCAGGGACCACCAGCTTTTGGTCAGAGGTAGCAGCAGCTTTCCGTGGCTCAGGGACATGTACAGAACAGGTGACATGGGGAAGAAGAATAGTCAGCCAAGATTTAACTTTCCCTTGCATGAATATAGAATGAGTCAGTGAACCCTATGAACTTGTACTCTGATGCTTAGGTATTTTTCTCTTGGATGTGCACACCTTGCTTAGGTGCACAATTTATCATGGGGGTGTAAGAAAAGGAGGGGGAAAAGCATTGCGCTCAAGCTGAACGTGTATTGGATGTCTGAGCCTCCAGACTGTATGTATTGTTCAACATATGACTTTATTTTGGCAGACATTTCTGCTGGGACACACAGATGGCAGTTCGTGACTAGGGATCTCCATGTGGCCGGACTTTGCTGTCCTCCACATTCAGCTGTTCAGTAAAATAAAGATTAAACCAGCATCAGTCTCCACTCTTCAAACCCATACCTTCCCCTGGGTACTCAAAGACCATCAGTACCTTTCTTTCCACTCTTACTTCATTCATATTGACCGGAGCAGAAGAGAAGCCAGATCTATCTATATCCTCTCCCCTCACTTGTTCAGGGTGGATATGTGGATCTGTACGTAGTAAATCACCACCATTCATCAGAATGGTGGAAACAGAGAGGGTTTCCCTAAAAATATCCTCAAGGAAAACTTCTTCCTAATCACAGAGATGGGAACAGGTTTGACCTGAGCATATGTGGAAAATCCTCCATCCAAGTGAAGGCCGGTGAATGACTATCACAGTATCATTGGTGCTTCACAGTGATTTCATTGACTTTTCTTCTCTCTTTGCGCTTGCTTGCAGTGTGCTGAAGCACTCAGTGGATGCTACCTACGAGGAACAGGGTCCCAGCCCTGGCTACCGAATGGAAATGTCTATCTTTTACGTGGTGTATTTTGTTGTCTTCCCTTTTTTCTTTGTGAACATCTTTGTGGCGTTAATCATAATCACCTTCCAAGAGCAAGGAGATAAAGTGATGTCAGAATGCAGCCTAGAGAAAAATGAGGTACCCATATCTTATGGATTGAGCAGCTGTGGGAGGTGGCATCTTGGGGATTCAGAGCACTTTGATGCTGAGGGGACAATCTCTTCATCCCTGCTGCACAAGGAGGGGCTTTAGAACATGTGGTGCCATGTGCTGAATGCAAGACTTAGAGACTATAGACATCAGTCCCCTTACAGACTTTCACTTACAGGCTTTTGCATAAAAACAAAACCAGGGACAGTCCCTGAATGCTGCACTTTAGCTAAGCAGTGTCCTGTATCCCTGTGGATCACACCTCTGCTGCAAAGTGGAGATCGTGCTGATTGTTAGCTCAAGCGTGTATGTGCAAAAGGAGACAGAAGTGTTTGGCATCTCAGTGGCTGCTCATCAGAAATCAAAGTGAAAGTTGCTGCTGCTCCCCAGTGGAAAGTTGCCCTTACCAGCCTGTTTTTGCTTGGCTGAGACATTGTTCCCCTGCAGCAGCCAAAAGATGCCTTAGGAAGAGTGTGAGAATAGTGCAAGCACGTGCAATGCTTTCCTTCTGCACTCTAGCAAACAGCACTGCTTCCAACTCAGGAACCTTGTTAGATGTGGTCTGGCTGTAGTTAGCAGCAGCTCTGTATTGTTCTCCCACAAATGTATCCAGTTTCTTCATGAACCCAGGTAGAATTTTAGTATTTGTAAAATCCTTTGTCTGGTCTGCCTGCGGTTCCAAAAAAAAACCAACCCTCTTTTCCTTCAAAAACTGTGAAACTGGAACCTGATTTTTGATTAAAAGAGATTGCTTTTAATCAATTCTGCAGTGTTTCAACTGTATGTCTGTTTGAACAAAAAGTCCAAAATAAAGTGGAATATTTAGACATGATTTACTCACTTTTTTTTTCCAGCTGTATCCCTGAGATTTTCAGTGTGACAAACTTGGAGGTTTTGAATTTTTATCTCAATCGTGCATGAGAAATTGTTTCAGAATTGACACCATTTTAATGCACTTTTCTTCTTGTAGAAATTTCCAACTGGAAATATCTTTGAGGGTTCACCCATTAATATTTGTTGGATAATTTGCTGGTTGAGTTTGGTTCACTTTTCAAAGAAGTTATTACCTGCTTGTGTGCTAGAACAGAACTGAGCTTCATAGTACTTTTTAAAAACACAAATAGCATCTTCATTAACCCTCAATTTTCTGGATTTCTTTGTCAGGAGGAATTAGCCAATTGTTTTCTGAAGTGAGCCCATGAATTTAAAACTCTTTTCTTTAAGCAGTAAGGGACTGGGACCTGCTAAGTGATGCAAGGCCATCTCCTAGGTTGTGGGGGCTATAGTTCTGTGGGGGTTTAGTAGATCCATCAGGATTGAGAATGACCACAATTTGGAGATGATGTGCTCCATTTCACAGTAGTAATCAGTAGTTGCATCATGTGTAAGAAATGCTTAAAGGTACCATCCTCCAGTAAATGCTCTACTCCCAGCAATATTGAACTGCCAGCCCTTTTTTGTGTTCTTTTCATCCTGTTTTTGTTTTGTAGAGGGCCTGCATTGACTTCGCCATAAGTGCCAAGCCACTGACCCGCTACATGCCTCAGAACAAGCAGTCATTTCAGTACAAGATGTGGAAATTTGTGGTGTCCCCTCCCTTTGAGTATTTTATCATGGTCATGATTGCACTCAATACTATTGTTCTCATGATGAAGGTTAGTGAGCTGTTACTGAATCTTTGCAATTATGGGCTAGAAAACGTGGTGTTTGCTGTAGGGGTTTTGTGCTCTCAACATGAGAGCTGAGTGGTTTGGCAGGATCAACTGTCACTTCTTCCTCATCTTCCTCATATGATTTTTAGAGGCCATGTGGGATTCCATCCCCAGAGGGAGGTGGTTTGGTTGTGATGAGGCATTGTGAATGGGAACTAGGCTCTGGAGTTCTGCAGCTCCTGGTCCAGCCTGCGCAAAGTTGGTTCACTCCTTGGGGATGCTCGAACTCCTTGCAGTCAGTTGAGTCAGCTGGGAAGGTTTTACTCTGCCATCAGAAATGATTTCCAGTAACAGCCTTCCTTCCATCCTCATTTAGTTCTATGATGCTCCAGAAGCATATGAAGAAATGTTGAAATGCCTGAATATTGTCTTTACATCCATGTTTTCAATGGAGTGTGTGCTGAAGATCATTGCCTTTGGTGTGCTGGTATGTGCCTTCCTCATTTGCTTTCAACTGTTCCCTCTCCACTTAAAATGCTTGTATTTCATGATTTAAAAGCAAGCAAACAACCAAAGAAATTGTCTTGCAGAGAGATAATAACCCCTGTATCTCCCTGTCCCCCTGTGTTCTCATTTGACAGAATTATTTCCGAGATGCCTGGAATGTCTTTGATTTTGTAACAGTGTTGGGAAGTATTACTGATATTTTAGTAACAGAGATTGCGGTAAGTACAGTTTGCTCAATATTCTTCATTTACCCATAAAGCTGTACCCTGTCAGGACACTGCACCTTCTCCCTACCAGCCCTAGAGTAGCTGAAGTCCTTGGGTGACCTGGCAGCCTGCTTCCATCAGCTCTGCTCTTTGCACAGAGATGCTGTCTGGCCCAAAGACTTTCATGCCAAAAGCTCTGATGAGATTGATGGTGCTGATGACTGTCAGGAAGCAGGCTCTCCTTCTCATTCAGCAAAAGGCTCTAACCCCGAGCTGTTCTTGCCCATTAATGGAAAAATCCTGTTGAATTTAATAGAGGGACAATGTCAAAAGGAGTCTAATGAAAGCTGCTGGCTTGTAGAGTGAGGTGCCTCGCGGGGCATTCCCCAATATCATGTCTGTTTTCTGGGGATCCCAGCCCATACTGAGCAGGGAGAAGGAGATAAGAGGAGAGAGCACAGGAACATAAACCCAGCCAGAAGCTCATCAGCCTGCGCAGCCTGCCCTGGGGGAACTTTGGATTCTGTTCCTCACACAAAAGTTCTGCAGGGCAATTACTAATAAAAAAATAAAAATAAGATGTAACTGTACCATAGTATTCGTTGGCCACCCGTCCCATGTCCTCAGTCTCCCTGCTCATGAGTCCTGGAGATTACATTAAATGCACAAACTTGCCATTAAATTCTACAGGATTTTTCCATGAGGGCAGCAAATAACTGACAGAAGCTTTGGCAATCTGATGTTATCCAATTTAAAAACGTGCTCCTTTTCACTCCCAATGCATGTTTTAGCTGATGATGCTATATCTGTATGTAATGGATTTGAATTTTACCATACTTTTTTCTTCTTAGTTCCTGAGATTTGCTTATAGACCTGTTTTGTGTGTGCTAAGTACTATGGTCCCCAGGCTTCTTTACAGGACATTCAGCTGGTGCTGAAGACCAGATTACTGTTTCTGACAAAATATATTATTATCTAACAACACTGGTACAGAGAACACAGGAAAAATAAAGCCTTTTGCTCCCTTTACAAATGGCATTCGTTTAACAGTTGACAAATATCATAAACTTTTGTATTACCTTTTGTTCTTAGTATACAGGGTAGAATCATTTAGATCAAGCCACTTCTGAGAGCTTGGAGGATTTGCAGTGCTGTGGGCAGGCATTGAATGCCTGCCTTCATTCTCTCTGCTGCTGGAACATGCTGTGGTGGCCTCCTGATGGGACCCAAACCTTTGTTTGGTTTGAAAATCTTGCACATCAGCTACACAGACTGACATTTCCTTTCAAACTATCTTTTGGCTGATGTTACCAGGAGGGAAGAGCAGCACAATGAACTTCAGCCTATGGTCTCAGAATTTGGTAAACACTCCTTTGGGAAGAGAAGGAATAAGAATTAGTGCATAGAAGTTCCCTATCTTCTCCTGGTCTTCAGGCTGGAGGGTAAATGTGCTCCCAAATCCCTGTGTGGGGGTCACTGATGCAGTAGTCTCAGTGGTGCTGGAGCAGCTGCATCACCTTCTGCTCTGCACTGGTTTCTCTGGTTTCCAGCATCAAGGATTGCAGTGAATCAGGAATGCCTCTGAAGAGGAGTAGGAATTATTTCTACAACAGCAAAATCCAATAGAGTTAGGCTCGCCAGCATCTATACACTTCTCTTATCCTCCCACATGATAATTGAGAGTCTTGGTTTGAGTCATTATGTCCACCAAGCCAGCCTTGGGGAGGACTACGTGATGGAGTTCACCAGAGCATCCAATATGAAGCTGTTCACAAACATCTTTCATATAAACCCTTCTGCCTTTCCAGCCCCTTACCTCTCAGTGCTGCCTCTCAGTCCACAGACTAATTAGAGCTCTGCTCTCTCTATATCTTCCCTTTCTTCAAATCTCCTGCCCACATGCTTCCCCCTGCAGAGTACCTGGAGGTCCCCCTGCCTTCTTGCTAGACCTGTTTCTCAAAACTTCCTTCATACGGTGCTTCTCTGATCTCTCTCCAGCCCATGCCTGTCTGCAGCAGGCACACCTACCTGCACTGAATAGCTGTTGTAGCCACCAGTGTGCTATTTTTTAAGCTGTGTGCATCCATCTCTGAGCCTCAGCCAGAGCAATGGGCTGGCAGTTCAAATGCATCGTGAGCAGCGTACCGAAGAGGTATGAGGAAGGAACTTATTTAGCTTAAAGGTGACATTGAAGCATTGAATTGCTGCTGAACTGTTCAAGTGAGAACTCGCAACAGTGCCCCAAAGATTATGTTTATAACACAACTGTTAATGGCAGCAAATAATTGCAGCTTTCAGGCTGATTGTCAGAGCTCTTGCCTCATCCAGGGGCACATGTTGTAGGTAGAGCTATATCAGGCCAACCGGTGCCACCCTTCCTCCCATCCCAGGCCCAAGGATGCTGATGGGACCTAGGCTGGAAAATGAACAGAAAGATAAGGCAGTGCTGCTCTGGTCCCACTTTGTTGGGTCCACAGTAATTAACAGAATGTGCAGCTCTGACCCATGGCACTTTGGGAAGCTCAAGGTGCCCCAGAACTGCCTGGGAAGCACAAGCATATTTTTTGCTGCTTGGAAATACAGCAGCTCTGCACTGTGTCCCAGAGCTGAGAGTTAGCAGAGTGATCAGGTCTTTACTAGCCGTGACCCAGAGCCACCACAAGATGCTCTCTTCTCTCTTTGCCCGATGGGTGGCCATGCAGGTATTTGGGTGGCAGGTAGCTCTGCCCCATGTGTTCACCCTGCAATTGTCCGTTTACATCTCAAGGTTTCTCAGACTGAGAGAAGCCCAGGTGATGGTCAGAATGTTGATGCCACATTACGTGGATCTACTCCCAAAATAAACAGCACTTCGCCATCCTTGTGGCGAATCCACAGAATGGTTTGGATTGGAAGAGACCTCTGGAGATCATCTAGTCCAACCCCCTTGCCATGAGCAGGAACATCTGTCATTTGATTTTGACGTCAGGCTAGCAAATAGATGCAGGAGCATCGATTTTCCACATGATGATCTGTATTTTTCCAACTGTAAGCATCCTTTGAAGCAACTAACCCTGCTCACCTGGGCGGTCTCACCTTGAGAGACTTGGCTTCCACCAGCCTTGCTACGTCGGTACTTTGATCCACTGAAAACTAAAGATAAAAGGAAAAGAAATGTATTGACTAATTGCTTTGTTTTACTTTGGTAACCGTGTCATACGTAATTTACTTTGTGAATGCAGTGGAATATACATATATATTTTTTTATTTCCTTAGGCAAAAACATGCATGTCAGTTTTTTTAACCCTCTCAGTAACTGAAGTGAAACAGCAAAGAAGTGGCATTAAGGAGAAGCTCTTCCTTGTGGCCACAGTTGGCCCCAGGAGGCCCAATGGGTGTTTGGCAAACTGACATCTATTTCTGTGCCTGGAAATACAAAAAGCGTCATGAGAAGTGTTTGTGAATTGTCTCCCAATTTGCATTGCAGAAAGAAATGCAAATAACGACTGCACTGTCTGTGTTACCTTTAGGATCTCAGAACCTCTTTTGGTTTGAAGCATTCTTTAATTTATATAATTACCATAAAAATAACACCCCCAAAAGCGCCCGACAGTTTTTTTCCAGTGAAATTTTCAGAGTTTCCTTTTTTGCTTGTCCTGATTACTCATTTTCTCTTTTGTTTCCTGTTTTGTTCTTTATTTTCCTTATCTACCTGCTGAATCACGCCATCCAATCAACATACAATGCGAAAACCATGTCTCCGTCTGTATGTTGTGCACCTGCTGCTCAAAAAAAAAAAATAATTTGTAAATAATCTTGCCAATATCCATCCATGAAAACATCACATATAGGACACGGTTGGTTTCATTGAATTTAAACAATTATTTAAATTCTCTGCTTTTATTTTCTCTCGTTTTTCTTTGATTTAATTTGTTTTGATGAGATTTCCGATTGCACTGGTGAAAAAGCCTCACTGCAGCGTGCCTCAAAACTGGCTTCTGTTCTGCATCTTCTTCCCCTTGGCTAATTGGTGACGTGAGGCAAATGCAGTTACCAATAGCCCGTTCTCCTCTGTTTGTTACACCCAACACTGATAAAGGGGAGACTTCCACTTGCTTTATTTCCATGGAAAATCAAATGAGGGTGAGAGGAAAGGATGCTCCTGGGTGGGAAACCCTTCCATTTGTAAACAACGGCACCAAATTCAGTTCTCAGAAGCTGTTATTATTTTCCCTTTGGATGAGATGCATTGAGCAGAATGTCAGAGAGGACGGCCTTGCAAGTATTTCTAAGCCTGTGGTTATTGTAAGGCACAAAAAAAGCAAATTATTAACGCCGTTACAGAATTGCTTCTCTCAAAACTGTGGGAAAGATTGTTTTTTATTCAACTTTGAAAACTCTGTGATACAGAAGCATGGTGCCACTGCAACGGACACCGAGTCCCTGGATGCAGAAGCAAACATCTCATGTGAATTGCAGAAGCCACCCTGTGAATGAGACTGAGAAGTACTGGGCACCAGATCCCATTAGGAATAAGAGTGCCTGATTCCAGGGGTGTCTTTGGAAACAGGAGGCTTTGTGTTTGAAAATATTCTCAAAAATGATATTTTTCTATTCTTAATTACCTTGATTACATTTACGAATAACATAAATGAGGCCATGAGCTTACCAAAAACTCCTGGTCGCCTTGCAGCGGCTCTCTGATCTACTTTAACTTACATCTGGTCTTTCTGTTGCACATCTGTTGCTCACAAACCAATGAGTGTGAGTCTTTCTGATAACCTGCAGCCAGCCTCTGTGCTTGCCTAAGAGAGGTTCCAGGAGGAAACTTTCTGCTAGTGAACAGCAAACACAGATATAATGCTATATAAATTGCACCGTACCATGGGCTGGAACCACTGCTGATATGGAGGTGTGAGGATGGCTCTAGGAGATTAAACGTCAGCTCCCTTGGCCCAAGCAGCACTGAGAACTGCTGTGACATCAGCTTGCTCACATGATAATATACTAGAAAAATCAACTTGCCTCCATTTCTTCAAATTTTGGCCTTGTTGATGTCAGTGTTGCAAATTGAAGGTTTAAAAGTTCATCCTGCAGTCACTGGATTGCAGCCTCTGTGATCGTGTGCCCAGATCCAGGCTCCTTCCACTGCTTGGTGTCCAAGGCACAAGTTCCATTTTTTTGGAACCTTAGCAGCACAGATTAATTCTTGCAGCTGTGTGAGAACTGCCAAATTTACCTGAGTTCTTGGGCTGGTTGCATTCCCCATTCCATGCCTCTGTGGTGGCTTTGCCACTTTGGGTGAGCTTCTTGTTCTGCCGACAGAAAAATGAGGATCCATGATGTTGTTTGGGTTGTGTCCCCCAGCTGGGCAGCCATACATGTAGGGATGTCCAGCCCAGCTTCTGCTGAGTTTATTGCTGTGGGGCAGCATTGAGAAACCTCCTCTGCTAAGTCCTCCTAAGTCCTCCAGCTGTAACATGACAAACTCATTCCTGCCTCAGGTTTAAAACTCCAAAAGAATAAACCCAGTGAGGCGGTGCTTTGCTGCAGAGCTCCTTCTGCGTTTCTCTGGACAGCAAGCACAGATCCTGTATCAAGGAGAAAAGCAATCAAGTACTGTAGATGCTGGAGAAATAGATCCAGGCAATGGCTGTACACCCTGCCCAGCATGTTTTTTTTTTTCTGCTTTTTGCTATTGAAAACACCCTAAGAAAGGATAAAGGAGCTGTCTGCACATGGCTGGGCAGCAGCGAAGGCCAGTTCTGTCCCTATGATGGCTCTTCTCCCCACTCTCTCCTCTTCTCCTGCTTTCAGTGAGCTCTGGGGAGGCATTGCAGACCCACGTGGGTCTCTTGATGCCCTCTGTACCAGAGCCCCATCCACCTCCTCTTCTGGGGTAATAGCAACAGGCCAGAAGGAAACGTATTAGAAGCACAGTTGGCTGGTCCTCAGATGGATCACAGAATCATTGAACAGTGATGCCTCACGTGAGCACCCAGTGGCCTTTAACATCTGTGCAACAGAAACACAAACAAAACTCTGGAAAGACAGACCCTGGTGATCCAGAAGACAGTCATGTGTGTGCCACGTGCTGCACAGGGGTAGCTAAACGGGTGGATAATCCATGCAGAACGCTGCTATCCACGAGAAATATTGCAATGTGGAGTTTCCCCTTTAACTGCATGCCATTCTGATAGTGCCTGGAGGGCTGAGCAGCCCAAGGATGGGTTTTCTATGCGGTGTGCTGAGGGTTACATGTGAAGCCCTCCTGCCTGTCACAGGCGTGTGTGTGATTTTGCCTCTTTGCAAGTTCTGTGCACACGAGTGATGCTGGATTTTCCTGGGTTGCAAAGGTTTCCCTCCCTTGTGGAGCTGAAGCTTTCATTGCTCTTTAGAAAATGGCAGTTGTTGAATCAAAAAGGGAAGATTGGAAGCTGGGAAAAAAAAGCAGTGGAAATCTGTAGACATGCACAGACAGTTTTGAAGCCCCCATTTTGTACTGCTCATACAAAAACTGTTGTGTAGAAAGTGTCAATTGGCACAGGGATGTCCTGTGTGAAGTGTGACCAAAGCAGGCGTGGAGCATCATGCTAATCATGACAGGAGATTAGAGCAAAATCTGAGCAGAGGAAAGGTTTGGTGCTAAACTGCATTACTGTGGGAAAAAGGAAGTAAGGCAACAACACACAGCCAGATCCTGCAGATGCTGCCTGTGTGCGTGCTCCTTGGAGGAGCCTTAGACTTGTGATGGGGAAGATCAGGCTCCAGTGATGCTCTGTAATTTGCCTGACTTGAAATAGTGCCACGAATGGGATCACATAAGGCCTGATGCAGTTCCTGCAGGTGGGGAAAATTCCTGAGATTGCAGTGGGCTCTGGGTTAAGCCTTAGCCCTGGTCTGGATGCACCCCATCAGGACAGTAAGGACCAGGCTGCTGGTGGCACCTCAGTCACGCAGCCACTTCTGTCCCTGGCTCTGTACGACCCTCACCCAAGGTGAGTTCAACCAGTATGTTGTGAAGGGACTGCAACCAATACAATAAAAATAAAACAGATGCTGATGCTGTAAGAGACAGGTGTTGAATTTTAGCACCTGTTCTACTGACCTTGACCAACCCAGGGGAATCCTTGCTTGTGTTTTGCCTGCCAGGGCTGCTTTCTGTTGCTGACTTGAATGAGCTCGGTGTTGTCTGCTCTTTCATGGAACATACCTGTGATTTACTCTTTTCTCTTTATTTGAGGATTAAGTCTGATATATGGTCTGTGCCTAACTCTGAGCTGCTTGCCTTTTTAACATGAGAGAAACCAAGTGCATGCATGATTTCTTGAACTCTTTGATGGGATTGGTGGAATGCGATGCTAATGGCCCAAGAACTGAGCTGGCATTTAAAGAAATGAATAGATCCAACAAGCCCCCCCCCTCAAATTCAGCGTGAGCTCTGTCACCAAACGAGCAAGAAATGTGGGTCACTTTAATATGACTGGGTGTCTCCTGGTAAAATGATGATATGAGAGAAAGACTGGCTTTGCTCATCTTTATCAGTAAGAGCTCCTTATGATGGTATCTTCCCCTCCACTGCTTGACAGTTGAAAGCGAGCTGTTTTCTCTCTTTAGTTAACTCAGTCAAATGAGTGACTGTGATCAGAGATTCACAAACAAGTGAATTGGAATAGGTACAGAACGCGGGGATATTTTTCATCTCCTTAAAACAGGAGGGCAAGAGGGATCTGGCTTTTGCATGTTTTGTTTTGGAAAGAACCCTCTCTAGATTAGCTCGCTGGGGCAAGCAACCTCTTTTCCATAAAGGAAAGAAAAGATGGGGGTGTGGGGTGGGGAGAATCACACAAAACGCATGGAAATCAGACCCCATCTCCAGCAGTTCTTTGATCCACCTGTGAAGGCACATTTAATAATAATGAGAAAATCAGCAGGCTCCTAAGGCACCTGCCTGCTGCTGTACACTCGACCTCCCCAACCAATTTGCTACCAGGGATCCATCTTCCAAAGTCTTGCTGGTGCCATTTCTCCTTGATGAGCCTGTCCAGTCACAAGTTGGATATAAATACTTTAAATCTCCAGGTTAGAAAACATCCCCATTTTTCAAGGATGCTTTAATCTTCACTGGACAATGCCTTTCTCTATTATAGTAGAGGCTACATGTGCAGTGTGTCGCAGCAGTCTTGGTTGAAGTTCAATTCGTGGTAGAAAAGCAAGCTGACCAAGACTTCAGCCCCATTCTTTACAAAATGATAATATGGCACCATTCCCTCTCCCTGAGTCTTTAGGGGAGAAAATCTGCCTTACTCAAAGCAAACAGGACATCCATGGACAGCGTGAAAGGGCCATTTTCTTTTCTGTCACTGACCCAGGATAGAGGGGAGGGCTCTTGTGGAGAGGGATTTTCTCATACTTGCTGCATGTGGAGTGATCTGCACTGACGAATGTTTCTTTTGGAAGGTTTTCTGGTGGCCGATTTGCTGCTTAGATCGTGAAGCTGGTAATTTTAATTTCTTTTTTGCGGGCTGTGGTTTCTCATCGCGTTAATTTCTGAAGGACACAAAACCTTTACTTTCCACAGGACAACTTCATCAACCTCAGCTTCCTGCGGCTCTTCAGGGCAGCAAGACTTATCAAGCTCCTTCGCCAGGGTTACACTATCCGCATCTTGCTCTGGACGTTTGTGCAGTCGTTTAAGGTGAGTGTTGGGCCTGTGGGAGATGGGGAAAAGGCACGTGAGATGCTCTGCACTTCTCCAGCATCAGCCTTTGAGTATCAAAGAGCTCCCTGCTTCTCTCTGTCTGCTCAGTGCAATTGCAGTCGTGCTCATTTTGCACAAACACCGGCGTGCAAAGCTTAGGTTGCCCTTGAGACCACCACAAAATCCTCATGGCAAAGCCTGCTCTTGTTTTAGCATGAGGAAAATGCAGTGTGACTACTGAGGGTCCTCATGCCCTCATGCAGCAAGTGCCAGCTTTAAGTTGACTTGTCTGACCTCACTGTTGTGCAGGTTAAGAGACGTGCTCAGTCAGCAGAGGTGTGGTAACATTTAAACCAGGGTAGTTTGTCCACGTCTCTCAGTTTTGGTGGAACTGAATAGAAGAGAAACCCAAGCTGTTGCTATTACCAAAATTCACTCAGAGCATGGACGTGACCATAGCTCAGTGCTGGTGCTGGTTGGAAGGAAGTTTCTCTAAGAACTTTTAAACCTTAGAGGCAAAAGTCTTAAGAGGGCTAAGATGGGAACATAGAAATTGCTTCTTTCCAGAACTGGCCTGGAGAAGAACTACCTGCATCCATGCTGTCATCCCACAGCCAGGATCAGAGAGTGCTATATTACACTTTTCTGCCCATGAGAGACCCCAGAGAGCCAACTGGTGCTCTCACATCCAGTTTCTACATTACACTTTCACCCATCAAATAACTTATGGGAAGGGGCTGGGATGTGAGTATGCCGTGCCTTAAAGGACACAAGCAATGAGATTTGTTAGGTCACATTTTCCATAAGTGTGGAGGGAGGTAACAAATCTGCTGCTCTCATCTTGTAACTAATGAGGTCTGCTGCAGCCAAGAACCTCCACCAGAGGCTGAGACGTGGGGTCTGTGGATATGAAGTGTTCCCACCCAGGACAGTGTTCTTGGACTGTTTAATTCTGGGTGGATCAGACAGAGGGGCCTCAGCCAAGTCTCAGTCTCTGAGTAGTTTGGGGAGGTACCAGGTCCTTAGTGCACTGGTAATGATTCAAAACCAAAGTATATTGTTCTAGACGTGCCTTTTACTAACACACTGCATGTGGCATAGCCTGCAGTCCTGCTCTGCCCTCTGCAAACAGAGAGCCAAACAGGGGAATGTAAACCTGATGTCTCCCAAAGGCTGAGGCTGCAGCACCTGGGCTGGTGGTGTTGGTCTGATGGGCCACAGCTGTCTGTCTGTCTGCAGTGGGATCTGTCTGCCCATCCTTCATCCACTCTCTAAGCTGCACTCTCATCTTTGGCTCATGTGCAAAGGTTCCCAGCAGAGACCAATCAATCCTGGGCCATGGGCTGTGTAACCCCTCCCCTGACTCCAGGCTTCCCATGGTCAGCCTCAGGGCAGGGCTTTGCATCTTTGCAACTATTGCTAGTTAAGAGGTATTAATTACTTCTTCATCTAGCCTGAGTGCAAGATATAATTATGTTGCAGCACTCACTGACTTCTCATAAAAACTCAGAACCTTTTTACCCTCTTGGGGTGCAATCTGTGCCTAATTCAGAGCAGGAACTTATTCCTTGGCTAGATGTGTTTTCTCGTACATAAGTTTATAGCAAGGTCATTAAAAATTAAGGTTTGTCCCTGTGCAATTATGCATAGGAAGCACCAGTGCCTGCTGATAGTCACTGTGCCTGCTGCAGAGCTTCTTACTGTGTTTTCCCTGGTTACTGCTTATCTGTCTGCAAGAATGCATACAGAGCTCTTGGAAAACACGGTCTGGTTTGTAATTGATGAATACCTGCTTCCAGGGCTTCATTTGCCAAAGGCTTCCAGGATTGTTCCAATTCTTTTCTCAGCTCCTTTACCTGAAAGACAAATGCTACAGAGCACAGTGCTGCCCAGGAATTAAATGCTACTGGCTAATACAGGTTTACTGATGTTAATACTTTCTTCTCCTTTCCCACAGGCCTTGCCTTATGTGTGTCTTCTCATTGCAATGCTCTTCTTCATCTATGCCATTATTGGCATGCAGGTAAAATTTTGGCTTTAATACTGATTGTAAGTAGCCTGGTTTTGTCCCATGGGAACAGGGTGTGCTGTTGCCTCTGCAGCAGCATCAGTATCTAGCTTAGGATGAGGCAAACCAACACCTTCTGCCTGGTGGTTGGGGAATTGGAAGAGCAAAAAGGGGCCACTTTCTTATGTCCTTACTGCCAAATCTTAAACCTAGTGCCAATCCAAACGTGGGTGTAAAGTGGGAGAGCACAGGTTTGCAGACCTGGTCCTGCTCTGTGGGTACCTACTGATGGACGCCTCTGCAGGTGACAGCAGGGCACAAGGCTGTGCCCAATGAGCTCTTCAGGCACCACTCCCTCCCAAAAAGAGATGAGGAATTTTTCTTGGCCTGTGCTGGAGCTGAAAAGTGGTGTTGGAAAAGGTCAGCATAAAGATGAAGAACATTAATCTGATTTTTTTTCACCATTTGATCATCACAACACACTTCTATCTGCCTTGAAGCAGGGCAAATCCTTTTCCTACCTTTCCTCCTAACTCCACTTGATCCACCTATGCTCATGACTCCCATGTGATTCTACAGCAGGCTGCATTTGCCCTGAATCCCTTCTGCTTTCTGTGGCAGGTATTTGGAAACATTGCACTAAATGACGAAACCTCCATCAATCGGCACAATAATTTCCGTACCTTCCTTCAAGCCTTGATGCTTCTGTTCAGGTAAGCAGATATCAAATACCAACAAGGCTTGCAGGTGAGCAGCAAATAAATCTTTGTGTCTTGGTGCTGGTAATGATATCCTGCATAGGTCTGGTTTTGCATAGTTGCTGTGAAGCCAAGTGGAAATGCAGTCCTCCAGCTCAGAATAGCCACTCCAACCAAAACTCTGAATGCCACACAGTGGGAGGGTGTGGGCAGAGGCAGCAGGACTATGATAGGAAGCAGGTTTCTGCATGAGGGAGTGAGGTTTAAGGACTAAATGCTGCTGATATCTCATGCAATACAAACCACAGTGATCTAGGAGCTATTTCAGTTTGCGCTGAGCATCAGATCATCCCAGAGCCTGGGAGAAAGGCTTATGGCCTGGCTTAACATCCAAATTTTTGCCTCCCATTGCTATTACTGTGGGGTAAATAAGGATTCCTGTACCCCAGGCTCAGCCCAATGGGATCTTTGCCCAATGCTGCTGCTGACTGGACTTCATTGTGTTTGGAAGTGGGTTCACATCTTGTGTGATTGTAAGGGTATTTTTCAGATCTGAAGTCTCAGTGGCAGAATGAAAAGCTTTGCACCCACTTTGTGTGGCTGTGAGCAGCACTGCAGTGGGCTAGGCTCTACACAAAGCTGTGGGGTGGCCCTAAAGGCACCTCTGAGCACGGTGCAGAAATTACTGGGGGAAAACCTGATGTGAAAAGCTGACATCAGCAAACATGAGGATCCCCCTGCCTCTGATCCATGCATGTGTGTTGCTGGGGTTGGTTTGTTTTGAGGACGGACACTCTGGGCCTGCCAGTGTTTTCCTTTCAATTACTTTTTATCCCCACAGTAAAAGGGAGAAGTTAAGATTTATTTGGGGTTACACCTATCTGCTACTTCAGCTTTTACACCCAAAATGAGGGGGAGAAGGGAAAGGATGGAGAAAACCTGGGAGACCAGACATACGACCCCTGTGACCCATCAGACTTTCCTGGTGCTTCTGCACCTTCTGACAGGAGAAATGAGGGATTCCAGTGGAGCTGAATTTGTTTCCCAGCATCTCAGCTGTGCTTGCAGCCAATGCTAGGACAGAAACATCAGGTGCTACAAAAGGAGGCAATGCAAACTGCATCTATTCACATTGTCACGTTGCTATTGACTTGTTTAAATCGTTCTGATTATATCCTCCCTGAAACCAACCTAGCTTGGCTTACGTGAGCCTGTTTGGTTTCCTTCACCTCCATGCATCAGACGGAATTATTCTCCTTTATTTCTCATGACAACGGGTTGGCAGCTTAGACTCCTAATGCAAATATATCTCTCTCCACCTGGGCGCACCCCTCCTTCTAATTACCTTAGTTAACAGGTGGGGATGAGCTTACACCCTTCTGCCTGTTTGTCTACAGGAGTGCCACAGGGGAGGCCTGGCATGAGATCATGCTGTCATGCCTGAGCAGCAGGGCTTGCGACCCACTCTCTGGCCTCACCAAGAATGAATGCGGCAGCGACTTTGCCTACTTCTACTTCGTGTCATTCATCTTCCTCTGCTCCTTCCTGGTAAGCCAGTCCCTAAAAGGCAGATGCTGGGGAAGCTCCAAGCCATCCCCACCGCCTTGTTTCCTTCTTCTCCCTAATTGTGATTTATACAATGTTCTGCACCCGCTTTGCTAAAAACTATTTATCTTCCTGGTGCTAAAATCCCTTTAATCCCCAAAGAGACCATTTAGTCATTAGTTTAAAGGGAAGCATTGTTTTTATCTTTCTTCCCACAGGGGATCTAATGTTTGGAATTAAGCATTAATCTGTTTTGTCTTGATTTGTAACGTGGCCCTTTGAAGAAGAGGATGGGAAGGGCAGGATGGGAATGGCCAAGATAACATTGGTTGAGAAGTGCTTGGAGCAGGCAGCTGACAGCACCAGGCTTGCTTGACGGCATGTTTTGTTTTCTTTACCAAATAAATGCATTTTCTTCTAACATAGTGTCAAGAGACCTTTAGATATGAAGGTACATGGAGCTTTTGTACTCTGTTTGTGCCCGTGGCTGTCATAAGGGGCTGGCTTTTAAGATTTTAATGCGTACGGGTGTCTTTCTAATCACCTGTATGCATAAAAAAGCCCTCTGCTCTCGGGGTTTGGATCTTTCCTGTGCTGCTGGGACAGAGGAATAGAAAACCAGGGACAGAGACCCAATTAAACTTCAAGCAGCAAGAGATAAAAATCATGGCTCTGAAAAAGCCCCTAAAAGCTACCTATCAAACCTGCTTTCAGTTTCATTCCTCGGCTTTAAAATATAAGATCTGATGCTTTGTGCAGCTAATCCCTGCTATCATCAGAAACCTTTACCCAGGAAAAAGAGGTACGTGTGGCAGTTTGATGTCGTGTATAGATAGACCAACTTCAATGGCCCCTATTGAGATCCTTTGTCCAGCTGCTGTTGCCCCTCTGACATCCTGGGGATTATTTCTTCTGCATATATTAAAAAACGTAGAGCCCTGAAAGCTCCTGAAAGTTAATGCTCCATTTACAGATTGTACTCTATACTGCAAAGCCTAAATCCTTCCTTGTACAAATCCTTCCCCAAAAGTCAGGTGTTCTCATTGGTATTTACAAGAGCGTCGTCATTGCTCCTAAATTTCTTTATTTCATAATAATCATAGCAATTTAAAAAAAACCAGCTCTCCCTCTTTGGCTTCCATCAGCCCTGAGATGCAGTAGCAGGCCTGGAGGCTGGGGCACATCTGTGTGAAATACAGCTTTGAACCCTGCTTTGCGTGAGCTCCTGGAACTCCCATTGAAACCTCATTTGCTGGCAGGGCAAGTGGGGAGCCCTAAAAGATCCAAGGGAGGATGTCCAGCTCCCAAACCAGGAGCTTCGATGCCAAACAGCTGGACTGCTGCAGCCAGGGCTGGAACTCATTTCTTCAAATGTGCTCAGCACTTCATTGCATGGAAACGTGTGGTTCCCCACAGGCAATTAAAGCATTAGAGAGCTGCAGGCCTGCCAAGAGGAAACGTTTTTATGGTTTGTTGGGTGTTGTTACGCCATGGATTTGGGGGAAATTGGGTAATGTGTTTGCTTTTTGATATTGTTTCTAGCTCTTTGTGGATGTCCAGCCTGACATCATTTCTCTCCTTTAAATTTACACTGTAGAAAAGTATAAAATGAAATTAAAAAATACAGAAACTTTAGAAGCAGCTTTATGCAAGTAAGGGAAAACTGTACTGAGCCACAGCTGAAGCTGGGAGCAATGCAAGGGGCTCAAGTGGAAAATTCAGACAGGTTTTACTACCTATTGATTCTCTGGGGGTACAGTGATATGTGTGGGGTACTCGTAGCATTGCTGGTTTTTCCAGAGCTATTTTGGATGTCACTGCATCAGCGTATGGATATGGTGATTTGTTATGGACTGTGCTTGTCTGCAGCAGTGAGTTGTGCCCACTGCCATATTAAGACCTCTTCCTCTTTCCAGATTGCTCAGGGACATGAAAGCTACACAAGCCCCAAACCTCCACTGATTTTCTTTTAATGGCTGGCAGATGCTGATCAGCTGGGGATGCCCACCTGCAGCTTATCTTTGCTATTTGCTGCCATGGAGCAGAGCAGCAGCACTCACAGCAGCAGGGACAAAAGGATGGAAATGTTCTTCGTGCCCATCAGGACTTTAACTGACACAGGAGCATCCATTTCCATCCTCCCTCCTGCTCTTCCATCCCGCCAGCTGTGGCTTGATCTTTTCCCATTGAAATCCCTGTGTCTGTTCCTCTGGCTTTAATAAGAGGAAGCTCTTAATATACTAAAAGCATTTTCTGAGTTCTGTTAGCAGCCATGAGGGAGAGGAGCCTGTTGTGTGTCCTTTCAGGGGAACTGTAAAGGTTTGAATTGTTACAAGCCTAAAACAGGATATTCAGGCTGAAGAATGGCTTTTCTTCCAGCTGTTGTGTCGTGATTTGCTTTGATATCAAGGTGCTGGAAGAGCTGGCACAATCCAGCTGGTAAAGCAGTGACAGCTGGACTGCTCCACCAGTCTGTGGTCATGCTGTAGAACCTCACTGGTGATAGAGATGCTGCCACACTCTCTGTGGTCAGAAGCCATGCAGACTTGCTGCACACCGTGGAGCTGGATCTGACTTGCAGAGGGCAGGGAGGACAGCAGGGCCCCAGGGACCCAGTCTAGGCTTTGCCAGGTTCATTCTGCAGGACGTGTGAGCTTTTTGGTCTCTTTCAGGTTATCAGTAACACCTCATGGTGATGTGCTGGGTGGAGTTGCACGGTTTGGGCTGATACCCAGAAAGAAGTGGCCCTACTCTGAGAATGGGAAAATCAGGTGCCTTGCTGTACACCTGTAAGAAGAAAAGAAGCATTGCTCATCACTAATTTTTTTCTCAATGTGTTAGAATCCACACAATTTCAGAGGTTCTCTGCTCAAGGTCCTGGAAGCAGCCAATCTGCTGCCTTTACAGTGGCCTCCTGCAAGCCTAAATCTTTCTGGTGTGAGGCTGTGGTGTGAGTTTCAGGTGGGGATGGGGCTGACATCCCCAGCAAGAACTTGGAAGTCCTGAGGATACCTCTCACTTTCCCATCTACCTGCAGCACTTGGCTCTTGCAGTGAGGGGGGCAGGGCAGGGCTGCTACCCTGCAAGCAAAGAGCAGCTCCTGGGGGAGATGCAGACAATTCCAGGTCAACAACCACAGTGTTGGAATTGCGTATCTTGCTAAGAAATTCATAACCCTCTTAACCTTCCTGCTTTTATTTCTATTCTGCCTGACTTCGTAACTGCTTCTTCTCTGCAGATGCTGAACCTATTTGTGGCTGTAATCATGGACAACTTTGAATACTTGACAAGAGACTCCTCCATCCTTGGGCCCCATCATTTGGATGAGTTCGTTCGTGTCTGGGCTGAATATGACCCAGCTGCCTGGTATGTATGCTCTTATACCTGCATGTGAAGAAAAGGATTAATGTTGCATATAGGTATCGTATTTACGCACACAGCATGTTCTGAATGTGAATGCAACTCCAGGAAGAAAAATGTGTAAAAACTGAAGTAATGTTTGAGGTAAATGATCCATTTTAAATTCACTATGTATTGGAGATGAATTAATCTGATGTCATTGCAAGAGAATTTCCATTCAGTACACATGAGATAGACATAAACCAACAACTCAGTGAAGCCAAACACAACCACTGTCACCCCATGCACACATGAGGCCAGAAAATAGTAGGATAAATTCAAGTAATCTTGGCCAGATGGCCAAGCAAAAAAGATGTTTAGCTTTTCCAAAAGCAGCTTTGATTGCCTTTGGTTCCTGCATCTCAGGCCAAAGATAAGCTGAACATGCTGCCATTGGCAGTTTTTCTTGACTTGTGAAGCTAAGCCTCACTGCTCCTTAATCAGGCAGCATTCCTATCCTAGCTGAGAAGCACGTGAGCAGCTTCACAAATCCTGTGCAGAGACACGGGGTCACACACAAAACCTTCAGGTTTTCAAGATGCTCTCTCTCCTTTGAAAGGAGATGACAAACTCCACTGCTTGGCTTCTGCTGATACAGTGCTGTGGGCCCAGAATGGATCTTTTGCTTTCAGGCACCTGTAAGACAGCAGGGCATGATGCAAAGTCTGTTAACATGAGGGTGCTGTTGCTGAAAATAGGATTTTTAAATGGACATTTCTCGTAGATCATTTTTGATCTTGGAAGCCTTCTTCTGATGACAGCATCATTGTAGAAGGAAATTTTGTTCTTATAAATAATATTTAAGTTTTGGACGTGCAGTTGAAACTTAAGACACGTGAAATAATAAGAAGAAAATGCAGTAAGCCTGACTTTGTAAACATTTGAGATCTCAGTGAGCCTCTGATGAAATGTTCCTGATATGGGGTCATGGTAAAGAAGAAAATGCTTTTCTCCCAACTTGATGATGAAGTACTTGGTTTTACTGTTTTGTCTTTGCTTTTTCCCACTCTAAGACAACAGCTGGGAAAGCCAAACCCCTTCACTGGCAGCACAGCCCTCTGTGCTGTGGTAGTCCCAGGAGCCATAGCTGCAGCCTTTTAATGGATTGAGAAATACAAAGAAATAATTTGGACTGGGGATCACTTCTAGAGCAAGACTGACTTGAATATTTTGTTTTTCCCTTTGTCTGTATAAAGCCACTGCACAATAGTGCTGGTGACTGTCATTGTCATTTCGAGATGCTTTGAGTTACAGGTCACAACAGGGTCCTCAGTAATCTGCAGCTTGGGCTGGGAAGGTTTTTTTTTCCAAGCCCTCCTAATTTTGTTTCCATCTTCCTCCCCACAAGTTACACCTCAGAGAATGCCTCTGTATGTGCAAGGAAGCTGCCTGCAGCTCTTAAAACCTTTCCACTTCTTTGTTTCTCTTCAGTGGAGACAGATGCAGACAGGGTTTGTATAATCAGGATCTGAAACTCCCTGCTAGGATGCAATTAAACTGCTTGAAAATCTCCCTAAAATTGATTTAGACTAACTTGAAGTGTAAACCTACCCAAAATGACCTGTGTGTGATTTTTAACTAGCTCCAAGCCATCTCTACAACAAGCCTGCACATACGTGGCACAACACATACTGGAAGCTTGTAATCTCTAAGCAGATTTTCTTTATCATGTGCTCTGTAATACAGACGTGTCCTTTGTGGGTATTTGGCAGGGAGTAAATAACTATTTTTCTTTTGCAAATCCAATCCTATCTCTTACCACTCGGAAATCTCAGTGAGACTGAGAAGTTGGGTGTGCCCCTTTTCTACTTAAAAACTGGTTGTCATCCATGGGAGAAGTCACACACCGTGAGGGGAAATAATAAGTACCAGTGTAGTTTTTATTCATGTTTGTGTGTTCAGGAGCTTTCCAGCCATGAAATTTTGAAGATTTTCTTGCACTGTTAACTCTGAGCACAGAGGTTATGTTTCGTGGAGCGTTCACCCATTCGCTTCTAAAGCTGTTAACACAAGATATATCATAAATAAAGATCCTAATTCTGATTTTCCCTAATCTCGCTCCCGTTTTGCTCTGGTGTGAAGCTATTGATGTTGGCAGAGCAACTAGGGACAGAAGTGCAAAGCAAGGGAAGCTGAGGCGTGGTACTCGAGCCTTGGTCCCGAAACACGTGCATGTTCTGCATTTTCCATGTGTGAATCGTTCCACTGAAATCATTTATGTTTTCACAGTGGGACTGACATTTCCACATGTAAGAGCAATCTCAAATCCATTTCTTGTTTAAGGCCGGAGCAAATCTTTTGAACGTTTGGGCTGAATTCCACTGTGGGCTTGGATGTTGTATCTCCCAATGGTGATCCAAGGATGGAGCTGAACAAACTGTCCTGTAAGGCACTGCTCCCAGCAGGACAAAGCACCCACTTTTCAGCTGAAGATGCAAGGCTGTTGAGAATCCATTCTCTGTTTGTTCCCTTAGTTGGTCAAACTTGCTGAAAGCTTCCAACCAATTTTTCAGTGTCAACTCCCAGTGTATTGTATCTGCAGAGGAATGATAAATAATGACCATAGTACAATTTGCATGAAGAGTCCCAGGCTGTTAGCTTTTGCTTCCATCTTTGACTGTTTCATGCCTTCTCTCACAGTTTCCCCCTTGACTGTCCCACGCAAAAGGAAATCCTCGTGTTTTATCCACCTTCTGTAGCTTGAGACCCTTAATGAAAGATGCTGGCTGGCAAAGAAGTACCAACATTGTTATGTTTTTGTTGTGTAGGTAGCATTTTCAACATAGACTTAACTGTGTGTGTGTATGACATATCTATTTTCTGATGTTTGGCTTTGTTATAACCTCTAACTTTCTTTAAAATTTTCCTGGAAAAATATATTCCAAAGGAAGTTAAAAAGTGCAGCTAGCAGCTGTTGTGAATGTGTGTGGCCCTCAGGAGGGGTAAGTGTGGTAAAAGTGTTGGATTTAGGGGTAGCAGAGACCTCAGGCATCACAGAAAAGGAGAGAGAGGGACAGCAAATGCTCACAAGGCTGCAAGTTAACCAGGACAACACTGAACTGATGGGTGAGCTGAGAAAGAAAATTTCCTTTACATCTAAGACGTATAAAGTGAGAATTTCCTCCCTTATGCCCTACTCCCCAGTGCGCAAAACTTAGAGCTATTGGGAATGTTGGTCAGCCTTCCCATTCCTTATTCCTGGGTGCTGGACAAGGGACAGCCAAGGAGGAGTCCCACTGAATCATAGAGAAAGCAGGGAAATGCTCCTGTGCATTTGCTACACACCAATTTGGCAAAACCCTTCTAAAATTGGGGTAAACTACTCGACTCAGTTAAACCCATACACGTTTTACAACTATGATTAGGCCCGCAGCCAAGACTTACGCAGCCCTATTTGATCTGCTTCTAAATTAATAGTTTTGAGTTGATTGTGAAGGTTTTGAATAGACCTTAATTTTTCACATCCAAAAAAGCAGTAATATTGAAGGAGCATTTCCAAAATATTCCAGCCTTCTTTATATAGCTAACAAAAATAAATGCAGTGAAGCCATGTTATCTCATTTTTCTTTAGAGGTCATTCTGAAGTTCAGCGCTGCTCTTTTTGTACATGATTTGGTTACTTGCAGAAGATTAAGAAATCTAATCCTCCCGTTAAATTGGCTGAAAGCATTGTTGTGAGTTAGTAAAACCGACCATAAAGCTGCCTCAGGGCATCTGATTTCACCTTCTGGTGATGAAGACTCCATTTTCCCAGTGCTGGTGGACCTTGAGATGCAGTTTCTCTTTCTCCAGCACATTGCTACACAGCAAGCTGAGGCTATGCAGGTAATAGCAGTGGGAGGTAGAGGTTCCCAAGCTCTGTTGAACCTGCTCACCCAAATCCATTAAATAAACCCTTGGTGTGCTGCAGGCCCTGGTTTTACTGGGCTGCTCAGTGCTTGGGCAGTGGGTAGGTGCCTTCTGTAGGCAGATGCTCAGGCATAGAGAGGTAAAACGCATTGATACTGGAAAGTAAATGCAATGGATGGGAAGTCTACCTTATGACACGGAAGGATTTGTGAAAGAAATATGAATATAAAGCTTTTGTTGAGCAGCAGGAGGCTCTCTCTCTCTCTCTCTCCATCTGTGTTAAAGGCACTTCATCACAAACTTGTTATCAGGCTAACTTTGCTTTTCAGGTGGTTGGTCCTTCCAACCTCTTCTGTTTGCAAGGGAAAGGCTGATTCCCCGTGTTTTTGCTGTCATAACTTCTGATGTTTTCTTTCCAGTTGCCGGATTCATTATAAGGATATGTACAATTTGTTACGTGTAATTGCTCCACCCCTGGGCTTAGGAAAGAAGTGCCCTCATAGGGTGGCATACAAGGTTTGCAACTTCGGAGACTCCCTCCAGCATTTTCAGTTTTGTTTTTATTTCTTTTTTTTTTTTTTTTTACCCCCAAGTGCAAATGCAAACGGTACAGAAAAGAAACTGTAACGTGGCAAAACTTGGTTGCCTGACCAAGGAATGATTGATGGATTGCCTCCTTGCTCCTCTGTGCATCTCATCCCTGCCCCATCCCTTCCCACACCCAGCTGGCTGGGGCCAGGCAGCCTTATGAGACAGCCAACCCTCGAGCTTGCATCACACAGGGGCTGGGTGGGAAGTGTTAAGGAAAAGCAGCACAGTGTCTAAGTGCTTCTCTTTACATCTATATGCCAGAGAGAGATATTATCCCAGGGTTTCTGGGGAGCAGCAAGATTTTGGGGGTCTTTGCAGTGTTGTCCCTCTAGTTGAGTGACTCAGGTTTGAACCCTTCCCTTTCCTGAGCTGGAAGGGCATTTAGGAATGGGGCTGTAGGGCTGGTTGTCCAGGCAGGGGAGAGACGAAGGGATGAACTTTGAGTCCATCCCACTGCAACAGCCAGAGGTTGCCTTGAAAGCAGCAACACCCGTGTCTCTGAGCTCATAAGTTGTTAGATACAGCAGGGAACCTCCTGAAGGTGTGCAACACTTGGGAGCGAAGGTGGAGAGCAGAGGATGGGCATTGCCAAGAATTCAGAGGCACCGAGCCCTCTGCCAGGAGCAGAGGAGGGAAGCCAGGGGGAAATCATTGGCTGCAATTACAATTTGTGTCTCTCATCAGCCTTCAGATTAACTTTGGGTTATGAAGCCAGAGAGGTATGTTAAATGCTTTAGTTACTAAGGACAGGAATAGATGGGTTTGGCAGGGTAAGTTCTCTTGTCCGCCTACTCCTGCATCAGTGCTTTCCATAGGATTTGAGACCCGTGGCAGGGCAGCAGGCTGGCATGCAGTGCCTGCTTCTTCAGCTGTCCTTCTTGAAGGGTTTCCATGACAGCACACGGGGCAGACAGACGTTGGTGGTGAAGGCAGGAGGTGGGTGTTGGTTTGAGGAAAGAGGAGCCCATCAAATGCAAGGCAGAAACAAATCCACTTTCCACCACCATCCTGCAGGTTGGGTGCTGGGCTCTAGTTTTGCCGACCCCACATTCAGTCTGGCTGGAGTTCTGCAGACTTGCACCTTTGATTTAGAGCAGTCCCCATCTGTGCCCCTGAGCAAATTAGGAGTTTTAGGATTAGAAATAGCTATTTCTTCTCTGGCAGTCCATAGGCTAACCTGAAAACCCAGCTCTTCATTTGCTGAGGGAAAGCCCCCTGTCCCATAACTCTGCCTACCAGCTCTCCCTGGCATGGTGACCACAACCTCTTGGACCTGTTTGGGGAGCAGGCAGAGGAAGCACACCTCTGCCCCCAAAACCCAACCCAAACCCAAGCTCTCCCTCCCAAACAAGACCTCAGTCATTCCCAGCTGCAGGGGATGTGGGGCTTCCCCATGGCGAGGAGGAGACGTTGGGTGCCGAACCACAGGAATGGAAGTGGAGAACCTTTGACTGACCCACCTCTTTCTTTGATTTTGTTTTCCTGAGAAATCTGATTAACCGGATCTCTGTTTTCTTGTCTGTTTTCCCCTTTCTCTCTCCTCCTCATTCGCTCCGTTGTGTTGCCCTCCCTCTTCCCCACCTCCCTTTTCCCCATCCTGCTCTGCTTTGATTTCCGTCTCCTCTCGCTTTTGCCTCTCTCCCTCTGACTCCAAGCGGGCGCATCAGTTACACAGACATGTATGAGATGCTGAGACACATGTCCCCACCTCTAGGCCTTGGAAAGAAATGCCCTGCTCGCGTTGCCTATAAGGTAGACCACCCCAGCAGCTCCTGCCAACCCACCAGCTTTTTGTGCCGTGGCTGCAGCGGGTGCCATTTCTGTGACATTAGTGTTGTTTTCCTGGGCTCCTTCTAAGTGCTCTCTCTGCTTCCCGAGCAGACTGGATTTTGGATCTGCTGCTTTTTCTTTTTCTTTTTTTTTCTTTTTTTTTTTTTTTGTAACCATTTTTTTGGTCTTTGAAACAGTGGCACGTCAGTTTGTCTTTCTTACTATGTCTCTGCTATTTCTATCAGTGTTTCTCTCTCTCTCATTCTGCTTCCATTTAGGCTACTCTGGGGAGGGTGCTAATGAGTAAATTACCCTGCCACTACAATCCCCATTTGTCTTTCCACTGCTCTCACTAGCCCGTCAGTATGATGGTGGTTTTCCCCCCTCTAAATTAGATTGGTGTAATTAGAGTAGGCAGTGCTGTAGGAGTTAGCGAGCTATTAAACAGAGGCAACGCCAGAAGGGCTCCTTAAATACCCTCATGAAAGAAATTATTTTAATGCAAAGCATTTAAGATGGTAAGATGAAGAAATCACTCAAACTGATTGTTGATTCTGAAAAACTTTTTAATTGAACTACAGAAAGGCTGCTTACTAGCTGCTGCCTTGATGAGCACAGTGGTAATTCAGATACAAACAGGGCCAGGCTCCTCAGCATCTTTTAACACCAAACTTCACCATTTATTTCAGGAGTCTGCCATAAGCACCTAGAATTGCACAGCTCACCTCAGTGTCCGTGAAACTCAACAGGGTTGTTGGTTTTGTGGGTGTTTGGTTTTTTTTTTGCATTTCAGGTACCACCAAGCCTCATTCTCACCCCTCACCCATTGGTGCAGTGGGACACAGTGGATTCAGATCACAGTGTCTCTCCTAAAGGTTTTTTTTTCTTTCCATTGAGCTTGTATGAAAGCCAGGTTTTGGAACTTTAACTAAGCCTGCCAGGAGACATGGCAGCAGGAGGAGGTTCAGATATGGCTTTCTGCAAGATCCTTCCTCAATGTGTTGGGATATAAAGAGCAAAGTGAGCAGAACCTTAAAACTAGGCAGTTAGGTATCTTTTCCATACTCGTTTTGATGAGTTTGATGCTATAATAGTAGCTGTTTAAAGGCGTACCTCTGTTTGAACAACTCATCACCACCTTACCACGAATCCACTTGAGAAACCCGGCTGCCCTCCTGGCTATTTCAGATGGATACCCACAGTTGAACACTTCTGCAAAGGTACCAATTATGCACAGAAGCCCCAAAGCTTTTAGAGCAATCAGTGGCTCCTTTTAGCACCTCTGAGTTCCCATTGACTTCACAGGGAGTGGGCACTGCTGGGAGCTGGAGATGTTACAGCTCTGAGGTCACACACAAGTGCCAGAAGCATAAAGGTGTCACTTTTTCCCCCCTTCCCCTCCAAATCTTTAAAAGGAAGGGAGGAAAAAAAAAGGAATATATAAATAACACATATTAAAATAAGCATTTTAAACAAGGCTTTTGGCTGATTTCCATAGTGAGGAGTCTCTGTCTCTCTCTGTGATGGCTCACAGCTGCTGCAGAGGAACTCCCTGGGTGCAGGCACTGCAGCTGTGCCTTCCCAAATCTGTCTTTTCCTTATGAGTTAGCTGGTCTCTGGTTTAATTGGTCTTTACAGAGAAAATCCACAGAAGCTAGGTACACATGGATGGTTTGTTTTTAAGATCTATATATATAGCTGTTTAATTTTTACCCATCTACTTAGAAACCTCTAAAAGGTGCCTATGTGTGGCTGAACCAGAAGCAGAGATGGGTTCCAACTGAACAGCTCAAACCTCAACTGTACATCAGGTTTCTGAGTTCGAGGGCAATCTGATTCATTTTGTCCCTTATCACAGAGCCACAAACCACAGCAGTATGAACCTGAGACCAGGTCTGAACTTTTCCCACGGTCTCTGCATCATTTCTGCTCCTTCCCTCTCAACGAAACAATATAGATTTTTTTAAAACTTCCTCTTCTGTCTGGCAAAAGCCCTTTTGCCCCACACCTCCATCCTTTTCCTTTCCATATATATAATTTTTCCCAGTCCTCTCCATTTGTAAAGGCTTTATGTGTTTTTCCCCAGTCGTCACCCTTCTCAGTATGTCTGTGTTTGTTTTGTTTGGGTTTTCTCCTCCTTGCAGCCCTGTTGGCTGCTGTCCTTCCTCTCTGTTGCTTTCTGGTTCCCCTTTCTCAGCTGTCCTCCTGGGTTTGTGTGCCCAGCCTCGGCCGGAGCTTGGCTGTGCATGTGGGGTCCTGGGGCACCAGGAGAGCTCTATCCTGCAGCCAGGGTGGGGGAAATGGGAAGAAACGCATTTTAAAATCTCTTCTATCTGGTTAAATGAAAAAAAGGGGAGAAAACCACTTTGACTTCACTCTAGTGCCTTGAGATTGGATCTCTGGACCATTGGCTGCTTGGGGTTGCTTGGTTTTACTCAGTTTGGGAACTTTTGGGTACATTTACTCTCATTTATTGAGACTTGGAGGCCCTTCAGCATCAGCTTGTCTATGATGAAGGGTCCTCAGTTTCTATATGCTGTTCACTAGTAGCAATATTTGCAGCAGGCATCTACATGCTTTGTGGTTGTTGGCCTCCCTCCACTGGAGGAAACATCATGGAGGAGTGCCATTTGCACAGAGACGTGGCAGGACTTCACACCCGAGGTGTGCAAATCCTTGGAGGTTGTCAAGAAACATGGAGATGTGGCACTGAGGGACATAATTTAGTGGGCATGTTGGGGTTGGTAGTCGGACTGGATGATCTTAGTGGTCTTTTCCAGCCTTAATGATTCCATGATTTTAAGTCCCAGCTACACACCCTGACTTGTGGGAAAGGTTCCTTCCATGCAAGGAGCTGCCACATTACTTGCCCATGCTTTGCATCACAGAGAAAGTCTGTAAAATGGGTGCTGGAAATGCTCATGCTGCTGCTATCATTCTCTGCAGTGTGATGGGACTTCTCCATGCAGCGGTCTGGCCGTGTGCTAGGGCAGGGTCAGTGTTCATAGAAGCATAGACTCATAGAGTGGTTGGGTTAGAACAGACCTTACAGCCTGCTCCATCACCCCACCATGGGCAGGGACACCTCCCACCAGCTCAGGCTGCCCAGGGCCCATCCAGCCTGGCCTTGAGCATCTCCAGGGATGGAGCATCCACAGCCTCCCTGAGAAACTATTCCACCGTACTCATCAGGAAGAATGTCTCCCCTGTGTCTAAATCCACCCTTGCCATTGAAGGGAGGAAGGTTTAGGCAACCTCTCTGAAGCTGAAAGAAGAGTTAAAGCAGAGCAGAATAATTACAACTAGGTCGGAGTGAATTATTCATAGCAAATAATTTATTCACCAAATTCAGCCTCGTTTTCTGCAAGCACTGCTCCATTGTCCTGAATTTATTCACATTTGAAAATGATTCCCAGAGCAGTTCTTGTCCCAGAGGCTGCTCAAGAGCTGCTGATGAGGTGTTCTTAATAATTAAAATCCATCAGGGTGCCAGCTGGTTTTCCCAGCTCTTCTTTTTACCAATACTTGGGCAAATGTTTGAGCCTGAGCTCAGTGCTCACTTTCTGGGTCACACTGGGAACCAGCAAAAGACTTCAGCCTCACCCAGGTGCTGCTTTACCCTTTGACACCAACATGAATTTCTCCATTTCTCCAGCACGTTTACTGTCTATGTGAACGCTGCCCCAGAAGTCTCCAGGCAGAAGACATTCAGAAACCAAACACTGAGCAGGCACAAATTCTGCTAACTCCACTTGATGCAAAGCTCTGGTTCCGTGTTGCCCATGTCTTTGTTTATTTGCAATGAAATCTCTGCTGGTGCTGGAAGATGCCTGTACCCCTCTGACCATACAAGCAACTGCAGCAAAAAACATCACCTACTGTAACCCAGCTGTAATCAGTTACCATTTGCTATCGCTCTCCTTTTTGTGGTACGCAAAGTTAATTAGGAGACTCTGGAGACAATATTGCAGCCCCTCCCTTGAGGGTCTTTTCCTGCAGAAATATAATGAGATCCCCCATGCCAGCTCCCTTTGCATCCTTCCCAAACCTTCTGATTAAATCCCAGAGCTGGAGATGGGTCCCCAAGCATGCACTGGGAAAAGAAACAGGGACTTCATCTGCTGCTGCTGCTACTCTTCCTTAGATGCTATTAGAGATGGGAGACAAAGGGAGGAAGAGGAGCAGCATAGGGAGCACCATCCTGCCAGGTCTGCATTGGTTTTGCCTTTTTCACTGCCCCAAATTATTAATTCACCTGAACACCCCCTGGTTGTGGCCGTCAATTCTCAGAGCAGTGCAAACTTCCCTGCCATCCCCATCAGTATGCTCATATGGGGTCCTTCTGGGACCTAGAAAAAGGGAAAGCAGGGAGATGAGAGGGCTGTGATTTGGGGATGCTTCCAAGTGGTCATTCTCAGCAGTCCCACCCAGTGCTGCCTTGGGTGCAGGTGTTTTGCTCAGCAAAGCAAGTGTGCAGTTGTACACGCAAGCTTGAACCTCCTTTCTACCTCTTGAAAACCTCCCTTTAAATCATAGAATCATAGGATGGCCTGGGTTGAAAAGGAGCACAATGCTCATCCAGTTCCAACCCCCTGCTGTGTGCAGGGTCACCAACCAGCAGACCAGGCTGCCCAGAGCCACATCCAGCCTGGCCTTGAATGCCTGCAGGGATGGGGCATCCACAGCCTCCTTGGGCAACCTGTTCCAGTGCCTCACCACCCTGTGAGTGGAAAACTTCCTCCTAAAATTACTAATATCCCTCCTGAATACAGTTGAGGAAGAAAGACCTTCATGCAGCCTTGTTGTGCTCTGCCTCCACACTTCTGGGGAATTCAGTCTGGGAAACTGGGGGAGAAGACTGGGATATTGCAGTCCCATAATAGGTTTTTGGTGCTGGTTTGTGTGATGATAGAGCTCTCCTGGAGGGATTATTTTGCATCTGCTTGTTCCTCTCTGCCACGCATCTTCTTTCACTCTCCAGCTCTTTACTCTCTCTGTCCCACTGCGGTGGGATGTGATGGGACTGCTGGTCTCTGGGCTCACAGCGATGCAGGAATTTTGTGCTACCTTTTTGTGCACTGAGGGGAAGGTATGAATTAAAATGCTTCTTCATTGGGGACGAGTGAACAGAGAAAATGGTTGTGGCTTTGCCAGCATTTGCTGCTGTCACTGAGTTACAAAGGGAAGCGAGTCTTGGCTTTGATTTCACTTTCTCAGAGGCTTGTCAGACACGACTGATAACCTCTGGGCATGCTTTAAGAGCTCTCTGAGATTGCAGTGGTTCGTCTCAGCCTTCAAGAGACAGGGTCGGTTGCTACATGAGTCTTTTGTGCACCGTGCCATGAAATCCGAAGATGTGTAATAAGATAAAAAGGGGGGGGGGTCTCAGCTCTGCCAAACATCAGCTTGCTTGACAAGCAGACTTTTTTCACCTAATTAATGCCCTGTGCCCATCAGCACCAGCAGCACAATGCCTGTGTGTTGGCGATTTCTCCAAGCAGCCCTTGGTGTTGCACGGTGTCACGGCACGCAGGGCAGGCGCTGTGCTCTCTTGTGCACCCCTGTTCGGTGCTGCAGCAGCACGCCGGCTGCTGCTAAACAAAGAGAGGGTTCTGCACACTGATAGGGATCAAAGCCACAGCCTAAGCAGCTTTTGGACTTGGATGAAATTCCCTCCCAAGCGAGGGGCCCCGGCCAGGCTCCTGCTTGGCTTACAGCAAAGATTAATTCTTAGTGACTTCCTCGGGGCGCAGGAGCAATCTGGGAGCGGAAACACAGGGGCTGCTCTGATAAGGCTCCGAGCGAGGCTCAGCAGCTTTTGAAAGCTGAGGAGCTGAGAAGCTGAGGAGATTGCCAAAGGAGAAGAAATCCATCCTTTAAATGCTTTACTAAGGTTATCAGAGAATGCTTCCACCCGTCTGTGTTTCCGCACTCAGACGCCAGATGTGTTAAGGGAGACGCAGCCTCTGAAGCACTGTGCTCAGGTCTGTACTGCATATAGGAGGGATGATTTTGCCCCATCTGAGCTGGTCCTGATTGCTGGTGGGGAAGGAGATCCACCAGGTCTAAAGATCTTGGAAGATGCGTGGGGGACTATTCCATCTCCAGACTGAAAGAATGTGGGAGAAGGAAATTACAGTCCTGCTCTCAGCCACCCAGATCCTTCCCCTAAGGGTAAGACCTGGATGGAGCTGTGTAGCTCATTGACTGGAGATCTTCACAGCTCCTGGAATGCTTATAGGCATAGGAGGTCCATGATAGAACCCAAGAGTCTCCAAAAAATGAACGTTTTATCCTTTTACATATTAGCAGCCAGACCCAAACTGGGCCAAACCACAAGGCTCATTGGCCCTGTATGGCCCAAGTGTTCTTCAGGCTGTGTGCAAAAGGCACAATGATGGGAGTGCTCCAAGGTCTGCAGAGCTACGTGTCCAGAGGCTGCAGGTAGGATTGTAGATGGAGACCATCAGGAACAGAGTGGTAGGTTCTGAAGTGGGATGAGGATATTCAAACCAGCTTCTTTTGGAAGGAATCTCCTTATAGGATTGCAGTACAAATGCTGGCAATCCATCACAGCCAACAGCAGCAGCTCAGCCCTGCTCCAGGAAAGGAGCTGCCAGCTGCATGGAGATGATGTCTGAGCTCAGTGCACAAAAGGTTAACACAAGGAGAAGGGCTCATGTTTGCACTGGGGCTATTAATAGAGGCTATCAGGAGGGGAGGGGAGGGGAGGGGTAGGGGGGGAAATGCTGACCAAAGCTGACAGTGCCACTTTTCCTCCCACAGCGCCTGGTGAGGATGAACATGCCCATCTCACCCGAGGACCTGACAGTTCACTTCACCTCCACGCTGATGGCCCTGATCCGCACTGCTCTGGAAATCAAGCTTGCCTCAGGTGAGAGGGAGGGAATGACAGCTGCACAGCTTGAACCCCAGCTTGCCTGCTGCTCCGCAGCCCTGAAACCACAGCAGTGCCAAGCCAGGTGGAAATCCCATTTTCATTCCCCACACCCAAAATACAAGAGAGCTCAGGGTCAGGCAGCAGAGGGGAGTCCTGAGCCCTGCTGTGCCTTTGGGCAGCCATACCTTGGCACCGTGCTTAGGGAGATTTGCAGAGGTTTGGCCATCCCAGCTCAGCTGGGAGCCCCATGCATGCTCTGTAATAGACACAAGAGTTTCTGCAGCTCACTTTGTGATTATCCCAGCACAAGGGAGAAAAAAGAAACAAAACAGTCTTACTGTCTGCTTGTGGTGAGGCAGTGACTCAGAGCTCTCCAAGCTGCCCTGAGATAAAATTTTATTATTTAAGTGCTTAGTCAGGCATATACTTCACTTCCCAATTAAACACTGCAAGGTAGTAAAACACACCAGCCTTTTCTATGGGTCGTTATGCTGTTTAATCAGGCTGGCTGGGGTCACAGTCAAGGCACAATGGGCCAAAGCACTGTTTTACCTAATTTAGAGGCTAACAGGAGGTAACAGTGCTCTTGTGAGCAAAGGGTAGGGCTGGGTTAGAATGCTGTGCTTTTCCTTAGGTCAGCCTTTCCACCTCTCTGCATTAATTGCCTTCCTAACCTGTTACTGAAACTACATCTTTGATGTTTTGGCAATGTTGGAAGAACACAAAATCTCTGAGGCCCTGGAAGGACGCCCCTAATAACGCTCATTTTAAAGGATACATTTAGGACTATCTGGGATTTTAGGGCCAACACCATATTTTAGTAATAAAAACTGTACAAAGTCACCGAAGCCCTGAGAGTTTGTCTTATTTTAGGGTTCTAGTTGGCTGTCAGCAAGGTAATTCACGCAGGCTTTTTCAGTTGCAGAAGGTCCCCCCTTCCTATTTTTTTTAACCACACACATTAGAGGAAGCAGAGAACCAGCCTGGCTGATAGTGCTGGCATTGCTCAGAGGCCTCTATTTGCTGCAGTTTGTGAGTTCTCGACCTGTTCTGTTGCTGTGTTGCTTGGTTTGAATAGGTTTCATGTGCTGCATTTAATTGAGTCTTTAGTAAGGCTAACAGGCCCTTAATAAACCCTCCCTAATGAGACCGAGTGTGGGAGTTCAGACTGCCATGTAGCAGAGCACCCAGAGCCTCCTCCCATTACTTTCCTCTTAGAAAAATAATCTCTGTCATTCAGATGAACTACTTAATTGCCTGCTGTGTGGTGCATTCAGCTGGGAGCTGGCCTGTTGGCTTACATATACTTTAATCACTTTCCACTTGTGTATTGAGACCTCACTTTGGCCGTTTGAATAATGCTGCAGCGTTCAGCTCCTCCTGGTTTACGCTGCTCCGTGGCTCCTGTTTGATGCTGTTGATGCAGCACGGTGCTTTGAGTGTTTGCTTATGTCTCACTGCCAAACAGCTCAGGAAGGACTGTTGGTGGAGAGGGTTTCTAATCATCGCTGACCTCCTTTGCATCACACCTTGCAGGTGCTGCTGCTTTCTGCTGATGGTACCTACTTGGGCAGCACGTGCAATTAGGTAGAGGAGGCTGGAGCTGAAGTTTAAGCCTTAGGTGATAGCACAAGTCAGCAGGTTGGGGCTGGCCCTGCTGAGCTCACACACTGTAGTCATGGTCTGTAGTTCCCTGCTGCAGCTGGTTCTGGTTTGGTGCTGTCGAGGAAGGAGAGTGGGGGATGTGCTTTCTCCTTTGCTCGCTGTGCTGAATGAATGAGGGTTTTCACTTGTGTGCCTTCTTGTTTCCTCTCCCTTTTTCCAGGGGGTGTTAAGCAGCACCAGTGTGATGCTGAGCTGAGAAAGGAGATCTCTCTGGTTTGGCCCAACCTGTCCCAGAAGACGCTGGATTTGCTGGTGCCTCCTCACAAACGTAAGCACCCAGTCCTCCAAGAAACCTGGCATGGGTTTTCCCCCTTCATGCCTGCTTTGTACCAAGCCTTATCCAGGTACACAGTTCACATGCGCAGGATGCAGCAAAGAAATCCAATGTAGATCAGCTTGCGGGTGTTGCTGATCACAGAGGTATTGAAACAGGCTGCCCAGGGAAGTGATGGAGTCGCCTTCCCTGGAGCTTTTGAAAAAACATAGAGATGTGGCACTTAGGGACGTGATTAGTGGGCACAGTGGGGTGGGTTGGTGGTTGGACTTGGTGATCTTTTCCAACCTTCATGATTCTATGACCACCTAAGGAGCAGGTAAGCTGAGGTCAAATTTAGGCCTGTGTTTCCTTAATGTTACAGTAGGTTTCATGTCCTTAAAAAAAGCACCATGCTGAGAAGAAACCAATGCTGTGTGGCCCCTTTCAGACATTGTTCCTAGCTTTTGTTTGCCTCCAGCCTGTGCCTCAAAGGGCAGGAGAGCAATTTTTGCCATCTGGGTTCAGTCTGCTGCAGAAAAACAGGAGAAGAAAATTAAAAGTTTGCTGAGAACTTACAGAATCAGAAGTGAGGTATCTTGGAACCTTGTGCTGCTCAATGATATCCCAGGAGAAAGTGCTGAGAAAGTGGAAAGCTTGCCATTATCTTGACTGGCCAAAGCAAGGGCTCGGATTCCTGATTAATGAGAAACAGTGCAGAGCAATAAAGGCAAAGTTAATTAAGACAGATGAGGGAACTGAGGAGGTGCTGATCAGTGGGTAGCAACTACAGAATTCTTTTCCTCCCCACTTCTCGTGGTGCCTTTGTGTCTTTTAACTCCTTTTTGTTCAGCTGCTGGGTAGGAAAGGGAGGGGAGTAGAGCTGAGAGGGTGAAAAAGACATCTGGAAAAGTGAAATACTTTGAGCTGTGTGTTAGCCCCCTGTGCCCCAGTTGACTATAATTCACAGAAATTGGTCTAAGGCTCTTTTGTTGATTAAAAAGTTTGCTGCAGATCTGGTATTAATTTAGTGGTTCTTTGTTGGCAATGCTGACAATGCCATGGAGTTTCTCTGCCTGATTCTTTTCCACCCAGCCTCTGTTAATGTTTGCCTTTGCGAGTTAGGGACAAGGAGCCATCCTCTTAAAACGTTAAAGGCAGCAACTGGCAAAGATCTGAAGAACTCTGTTATAACCTTTTTTGCTTTTTTTCTTTTCCCCGTGTCTGTTTTGCCTCAATATTCTAATGTTACCTGTTCTTTCACCTTGTTTCTCACACCCCATTGATGTTTCTCATGCACTTTGTCTTATCCATCCCTCCCCTGGTCCTTTCCCTTTCTCCCCCTCGAAAACCTCCGCTGCGTTTCACCACGTGTGGACAGCTGATGAGATGACTGTGGGGAAAGTCTACGCAGCGCTCATGATATTCGACTTCTACAAACAGAACAAGAACAGCAGGGAACAAGTCCACCAGCCTCCTGGGGGGCTGTGCCAGGTACTGGGGATGCCACTCTCTCTCCTGTAGCTGCTTCTCAATTATAGTCACTGGTGCATTGCACTCAGGAAGTTTGGGGATGCTTGGTTAGCGCAGTGCATCCTCTCCACACTCAGCTCCATCTCTTACAACCATCCTTTGTTCTTCACAGCCCGGACCAGTGTCACTCTTCCACCCCTTAAAGGCTACTTTGGAGCAAACCCAACCCTCAGCATTCAGCAATGCAAAGGCATTCCTGCGCCAGAAAAGCTCAGCCTCACTCAACAACGGGGGCACATTGTGAGTATCTGTGATGCAGAGCAGGGGCACCAAGGGCAGATACATCAACCCTGACCCCGTTGTTTCAGCTGCTGTGGTGGTGCAGAGCATCTCCAGTGTCTCCAAGTTCAAGAGCATCCTCACGTGTGGCTAGGACAGCTTTCCACTGGTGGCTATGGAAATACATTCTACCAGTGCAGTCCTCCTCATGGTGGTACTGGTGGGTTCTCTAAAGCTGGGTGTTTCCCTAGCGGTCTCTGAAACTTAATTATAGTGTTTTTCATTGTGGCTGGTTTTAAGTGTGAGTTTGGTTATAGAAATTTAGGAACTTTGCAAAACAGACAGATAAATCCCAAGCCAACCAAACAATGGATCAGTAATGCAGTGAGTTATTGGGAGGCCTTGGGAGCAGACAAGTCCTTTAAGATTATGGCACTTGATAACAGCAAGAGCTTCCTGAAGGCTATCTGGGACAGAATCTCTGACACTTTCTCTTTAGACAAAATAACACCTCCATAGAAAGCTTACCAAACAGTTACAGTAATGGCAATCCCTGATCAATTCTCCATTTCCTGTTCCTCAGGTGACTTTCTTCAGGGTTGCAGATGCCGTGGATTTTTTTTCTGAAGTTTAAATACCTCAGGAGACCAACTGCAGACTCGGACATGAAACCTAGGGCTGTGTATACCCCTGTATATTCAGTGAATTTAGCTTAGCCTGAGCACAGTTATGCTTGACCAATGTCATTTAAGGTTATTTGTCTGTTTTTACATACATAACTTGCTTGAATTCCAAAACAGTCTGTTTTGCTTCATTAGAACTTTAGCTGCAGAGGTCAATTTCCTCATTTACGAAAAAGAATGTGCTGATTTCTTTGTTTTCCTGGTTGCTCAAGGGATCTTTGAGTCATAAAGAAAATGGCCCTGGGGAAGCCTACAGGACTTAATAGCTTCACCAATTACCCTTCACCTGGTTTCAGAAATGAAATGTTAGAGGTTACTTGGATGCTTTACCTTTACCACAATTAAGTTAGCAAAACCCTTTTGCAAAAGAGTTCATCTTTTCTTCCAATTTACCTTCTGGCAGGCCAGCCCCAGAGGGTGGGATCAAAGAGTCCAGTTCCTGGGGGACACAACGCACCCAGGATGTGTTTTATGAAACCAGGACACCAGCTTTTGAACGAGGCCACTCGGAGGAAATCCCCATTGAACGGGTAAGCAAGCAGGTGATGACTGGGTGAAATGCAGCAGATCTTAATAGAAATCAGGGTAGACACTTTTCTGAGAGCTGGAGAGGTCCACTGCTCTCTAGGACTAGCATTGTCTCTCTTACCACCCAAAACTTGCTTGAACATTGTGGAGAAAAAGCAAGTCTGTTAGCTGTGTTTGCAGATGTGCTTATCCTGCTGATAACACTACACATCTGCTGAGGTAGGACTCTTAGGCTTCTGTCTTCCTTGTTGTCCCATTATTATTAGTGTATAAACCCAGAGGAGAGATGTCACAGGTCAGAGCTGGGCTTCATTTAGGCTGGATGTGGCTCTGGACAGCCTGGCCTGGTGGTTGGTGACCCTGCACATAGCAACTAGATGGTCATTGTGGTCCTTTTCAACCCAGGCCATTCTATGATTCTGTGATTCATTGCCATGGCTCATGGCTCACTGCTGTCTTTGTTGAAAACAACCCTACTGATAGAGAATAACTTGGGTGCTCCACTGCTCCCTGTTTCTCTTTCCCTATCAACACCTCTTCACACATCGATTAGCGGAATACTATTAATACAGCGGGTTTGAAGCTGTTGTGCTCTTGCTGTTCAACGCTGTTTCTTGCTTCAGGTGGTGGAAATGAGGGAAATCAGCCCCACGCTTGCCAATGGAGAGCACCAACCAGGGCTGGAGAGCCAGGGTCGGGCGGCTTCAATGCCGCGCCTGGCTGCTGAAACTCAGGTGAGTGAGGGAAGCTGGGGGTGGGAGGCTGAGAGCATGGCAAGGGATTGGAGTTTTGTTGTCAGCTGCCTGTGAGGTTTTTGGAAGCTGAACCTGGCGCCAGGTAGCCAGGCTTTTTGCTTGGATGATAGGCATTCATGTGCAAAACAGCATTGTCTGCAGATATACTTGCTCCTGGTTGCAGCAAAAAGCAAGCAAGAGAAATCCCTATTTTTGGATTGCTAAACGGTGACTGCCTATCCAAGAGTGTCTGTTCTGATTAACTGGGGACAAAGATGTTTGCCAGCCTGTATTCCTAAAAGACATGTGTTTCCCATTGCCAGTTGTCTGCCATCTATCCAAACAGACAGCTGAAGCATGCTCCAATGCCCCAGCCATAAAATAAGCTGGAGATTTCCTGTGGTTCTCTTTGATAAATGCAGGAGGTATGGAAAATACCAGGGAGACTGTGCCTGGAAGGCTTTACTGAGATGTTGAGCAGTCTCCCTGTGTTTTCCTCTTCCCACAGTTATTAGTATATCTTGTGTGGTGATTTTGATTGGTAATATGTCATTAAGGATTTCATTTTCCTTGTTTAACTTTTTGTAAGGAAAGCTCATCATTAGAGTTGGCTTTTACAGCAACTTGGTGATTAATTGTGGATGTTCCTCAGTGCATAGGAGATCGTGGTTTTCATGTACCATTTTTGGGCATTGTATGTGTTCACTGCTCGTTAACCCAGGTGCTCTCTAGACTCCATTCCTCCTCTTGTGTGTCAGAACATCTCACAGTTGTGTCTTTTGTTCAAAGGGCCTGATTCATACAGAAGGAAGGGAGCAGCCCCTGGCTGTGAGCCATTCCCCATTGCTCTTCGTATGAAGCAGAACGTGGAAGATGTGCTGCCCCTCAAAACTCAAAGCCCATGTATTGCATAGGTGGAAATGGCTCCAACAGATAGCACACTGACAAAATTTTTCTTAGACTGATGTAAGCTATGCTTCACTGGCTAACAAATTTCCCAGCTGACATCAGAAACTCCACTCTTTGTATGAGAGCTCCAGCAAGTCACTGAATGGGATCTTGTCTCCTGGGATTCTCTAAGTTATCAGCAACACTAAACAGGATGCTTAATGAAAGAAACAACCCCCAAACAAACCATACTCCTTCCCTTCAGACTTCCCAAAACAAAGTTGTCCTTTATCCTAGACCTCCAGTAGCCTTCCAGTGCAACGCAGTAACCAAAAGCAAAGCCAAAGGCGTAAGCTTTGGCTTGGGAAACTCCTCTCTGTTGCAGCAGATATGGCTGATTTAGGGTTTAGCAACCTTCTGGCTTGCTTTCACTGCACCTTGCAGCTGCAGTTTTCTCTGAGGAAGGGTTCAGCTGCTTCTTCATGCACCTGATGGTTGGACTAGATGATCTTAGCGGTCTTTTCAACCTCGATGATTCTGTGATTTATGACCTCTCCATTGCTGCCTTCCTGGTCCCACCCAGACCAGAGCAGTCCCAGCAATGTCTTCCCACACTGCTGGGAAACACTGTGCTCCAACACAGAGACAAAGCCTGCCACTTTCCACCACTCCATTTTTCCAGAAGTATTTGCTTGCAGGAGCACAGTACTTGTCCCCCAGAGCACGACTGCCCTCACCAAAGCTCTCTGATCTTATGATGAATCAGGCCCATAATACCTGAGCAGATCTAACCTCATGTAATGATGTAATGTTCTGGTGTTGTAGCTTCAGCCAAATAACCTATGTCCTCTCTGTGTGTCTCCCCCTTCGTTTCCCCTTCCCTCCCTCCAATTCTCATCTGTTGCTCCAATCCCCCAACCTTTGAGTTCCTTACAACTCTTATTTGCGATGCATTTCCTTTCCTTCTGTTTGCTGGACATCTTATTTATCTGTTATTCCTCCGTCTTTTTTTTTTACACTCCCCTTTTAAAAACAAATCCCTTATGTTCTCCATTCCCCTGCCTCTTTGCTGTCCCGCTCCCCAACGCCTCCCCTCCACCCTCATCGTGTCTGCTGCACATCTGCTGCGGTGTCTGACAATGGCTGTACTGTGGGGCTGCTTCAAATAATGTCTCTCATCTTGTCCGAATTGTTTGCAGAGGAGCAAAGCACGGTCACCTGGGAGTTACCTAGCAGTATGTAGTTTGCACTAAGTTGTATCCTATTAAATCCATGTTAAGAAATAATTAACCTTCCTTAACCCTTTACTTCTTTCCCTTCTCATTTGGAGTACGATGTTGCACCGATGCAGCTGCTGTCTCTCCCCACTTTGCTGCCATCCCTTCGACCCACAACTGCACGCCGCACGCTGTAATAGCAGGGATTTTCTTTGTTTTGCTTATTTATTTCTTTTGAATGCCTTGTTGCAAATGGATTTAGGAAGTGAAAACTGCCGGTTTGGTAACGAAGAAGCGATTAGTAACTCTGTGAAGGGTTATGATATGGTCTCCCAGGGCTTGAGTGTGTGCCCCATTAACGTAATGAGAGCATTGTTGGGATTTGTGAGGAGGATAGGCTTTGCCTTGCTAAGATCCACCTCCTGTTTGTGTCAGTGGGGACTTTTGTCCCAGGAATAAGCACAGAACGGGGTCCAAAGAGAAATGTTAATTTCTTAAGGATTTGGCTGGCTTTCTATTGGGAAATGCCTGTCTTTCTGGTAGCTCCTAGGATGACTTAGGAAACCCTGCTGAATGCTTTTAGTGAGAAGTATTTTTCTTTCTTTACCCACGTCAGTGAATTCCCAAATCTGACTGCCAGTTTACAGTCCTCTCCCACCTCCTCCATCTTTAGGCTCAACAGTATAAAAGTGAACAAAAGTGGACAAAAAAGTGAAGGACAAAAGTGAAGCCCTAAATATGATATCTTGCTTCTACAAAGTGTACATAAGAAGGGCTGTGGGAGGAGAGCAACGAAGCAGCAGCTCACCTTGCTCCTGTAGCTGTGCACTGCTAGGCAAACAGCAGTGTGATGCTGTGTCCCCACCTCAACTGCCCAGCCTTATGTTCCTCGTGTCCATGACAAGCTTTCCAGTTCTAACGCAGCGCTGTGATAGGAAAAGTCAACACTTGAGTAACTTGAAAGAGAGAGCAGAAACTAAAAATTCAGCTGAGATTGCACTTCTGCATGCACGGTGGCACGCTGGGAGGAACAGTCACTCTTCCCCTCCAAAATACCAACTAGGGCTGCAATCCAACCAGCTCTGCTTTATGTAAATATCACGGGGAAGCAGAGATCTGAAATTCAGGCAAAGCAAACAGAAGAGTATAGATGGTAAAAAGTAATGCAGGGCTCACTGGAAAGGTTACCGTGAGCAAAGTAAATGTTCTGCTGGCAGTGTCATTTGGGCACCTATTGGACTGAGAACTCAAACAAGCCTCAAACCAAAGGACATCCTGAGCTTCCTCCCCATTCTGCTGCAGTGCTGTGCTCCGATGGCTTCCCTCTAGCAAGAAGCCTAGATGTGATGACAGACCTTGGGAAGCCAACAGAATGTGGATGGAAGCCCTGCCTGTATCCACCTGAGAGCACCCTGCAAAGCAGCTGGAGACCAGTAGAGTGATAGAGAAGGAAACACCGGGGTTTTCCTTGTTTTCTGAGTTTTACACCTCAACAGGAAGGTAAAAGGATGTGAGAGCATTCATCCTGCAGGCCATTTACCTTGTGTTCTGCATAGCATCATTGTGAGGTTTGAACCTAAAGGGAAGAGAGCAGAGGCTGGAGCTATCACTGGTGTAGAGGCAGCACCCAGCAGTGCCTGTGGGAGGCTGGATTGCTGTGCAGAGCTCTTGTGCTTGGCTGTCAAGCCACAGATGGTTTGAAAATTGCAGTAGCAACCCTGAGTAGTTATTTCTGGAGGTATGCTGGTAAAATTGCAGTGTATACATGATGTCCTGCTTGTCCCAGCCACAAAGGCATCAAGAGCAATGATGGGACAAGAGGGGAGGTTTAACAGTTCGATGGAAGTGGTCTTCAGGTGCAGGGAGACAGTTGTAGCTCTTTGGTGGCTTAGCCTGTACCTTGCCCATTTCTTTATTTCTGATTTTTCTCCCTCTCCATGCGATGCCCAGAAATGCTTTCATGCTTTCCCTCTTTGGAGTTGCTTTGGGATGATCCCAGGCCCTGAAGCAGCTTTGGGTGGAACCGGTCTTGGAGGATAACCTTTGTGAGATGCTTGGCTACTGTGCTGCCCTGTGCCCCTGCTCATCTACTGTTGACTCCCATGAGGCTGTGTGTGGTGTGACATGCTGCATCCTGCTCTGCGCCCATGATACCTGTGGATTGGCAGAAAACTGAAAGTAAAGCCCATTTCAGCAAATGGAGATCTCATTTGCTCCTCGAACTTACCGCTAAGTTCCACCATTCTGAGTTGTTCTGCCCATTCCAATTAAAGCCAATTGACTATTTTTCTCCTGCCCCTCCTTGCCCCTGTCTATCGCTATAAAACTCACCCAGAGAAATGAGCAGCTGAGCAAGGTGAGGTGCTTGTCCCCTGACCCTGCTCCATGTGCCCTGTGCCCCGCAGCCCATCCCGGACACGAGCCCCATGAAGCGCTCTATCTCCACGCTGACCCCACAGCGTCCACATCCCATGCACCTCTATGAGTACTCCCTGGAACGCGTGCCCACGGACCAGGTGCATCACCACCACCACCACCGCTGCCACCGGCGGAAAGAGAAGAAGCAGAAGTCCTTGGACAGGACCGCACATCAGCTGGCCGATGGGGAAGCTGGTAAGAGCTTTGTGTTTAACGAGGATTAGTCCCTCCCTTTATAACAGTCCTTATATGTGGTTTGGGGTCCCTGCTCCACATTTCAATGTTCTTCCCATGTTGGTGAGTGCTAGTTAATATTCTCCTTTCAGTGGCCCAGTCTGGTGAATCTTCTTCCAAGGACAAGAAGCAGGAGCGTGGACGGTCCCAAGAGAGGAAGCAGCACTCTTCCTCCTCTTCAGAAAAGCAGCGCTTCTACTCCTGTGATCGCTATGGCAGCCGGGACCGATCCCAGCCCAAGTCTGCCGATCAGAGCAGGCCCACTTCGCCCAACGGCGGGCCTGAGCAAGGTCCCCACAGACAGGTGAGGAGATGCAGGGTGGGAGGAGAGCCTTTACTTCTGCCAGGAATGTACATTTCCTATGCTTCTCTTAAGATAGAGGAGATAGAAGACCACGGAAGGGAAAGCCTCTAAGATCCTGCTTATCGTAGGATTGTTTGGATTGAAGGAACACATTATCTAGTTCAAGCCCCTGCTATAGGTAGGGATGTCTTTTGGAAGATCAGGTTGGCCAAAGTCCCATCCAACCTGAATTTGAACACCTCCAGTGCTGGAGCATCCATTTGTACATTGTAATGTATGACCGTGCAAAAGGTTGGCATTCTCCCTTGGAAATTCTAGGTCACTGAGTGGTGGTGATCCTCCCCATCATCTCCATTAGCGTGCAGAAAGCCTGGGACCTGTCTGTAGCAGAAAGGGTTTACATAAAGAAAAGAAAGGCAAAGATCCAATGTGCGGGCTCTGAAGGACGAGAGTTTGCATCCCAGTCATATGAGCACCCAACAGAGCAGAGCAGAACAGGCACTGCTGGCTAGACCAACCAGCAGCAATTTGATGTTGCCACAGAAGAAAAAGCTACTCATGAGAAATTAAGTCCTGGTCCCAGAAGGCTAGATCCTGAAAAGTGAGGGATTTTTAAAACGTGCTCCTAGGTCTATTCACGCACTGCCTTGGGAGAAGGTGAACAGAAGTAATGAAGCGTGAACTGCTTCTCTTGCTTGTGGTTCTGTTCCTCTTTGTAGCTCAGTTTTCTCCCATGCATTACTGTTAGTAACTGACAGAGCTGCCAGTTTGTTCTTCCATTCCAATAGTGAGGGTGCAATATTAACGAGTATGAGGTGAACACAATTTTCAGTGTTTTTCTTGAAGGAGCCCTCTTGGAAAAAGCTAGAGCCCATTAAAAAAAAAAAAAATCTTTTTGTTGTTGTTTCTCAGAAAGCGTCTTTTTAGGAATAAAACCCATTCCAATTAAAACTATTAAAAAAGTCTATCCCAAAATTCTCCCGCATAATTCAATTCTGAGCACAAAAGTGACCCCCAGTGCCAATGTTCACAGCTCTTGGCTGAAGCTGGGAAAAACTTTGCCCCAAAGCAGAGCTCTGTTTTGCCAAATTGTGTTTGCCCACAAACACAGCAGGTTGTTGGGCCGCTCACGGAGTCGCTGAGGTAAGGGCATGTTGGGGTGTGTGTGCTGTGGGTCCTCTCCCCAGGCTCTGCTGGAGCCATCTACCACTTTGCGTCCTACCAGTGCTCCAGTTGTTTCTGTCCTTACCTACTGCTTGCAGAACTTCAGTTCTCCAACTTTTCCCATCTCCTGTTTAATTATTTCTCGAGAACCTCCTTCCCCTAACTGTGCGTGTCTAAACTCTCTCTTTTTCCTTCTCTTTCCTCTTGTGACTTGTCTCTCCCTCCTGTCGCTTCTCCTTCTGTTTTACACCTGCCTGCCTTTGTGTTCGTCCGGCGTTTCCTTCTTTTTTTCCTTTCCTTTTTTTTTTTTTTTTTTTTGTTTTGGTTGTTATTTTTTTCATTCGCTCTGTTCCAATTTTGATGTAGGGCAGTGGTTCGGTTAACGGGAGCCCCTTGCTGTCGACATCTGGTGCTAGTACCCCCTGCCGGGGTCGGAGGCAGCTCCCGCAGACCCCCCTGACCCCACGCCCCAGCATCACTTACAAGACCGCCAACTCCTCGCCCGTCCACTTCAGCACGTCGCCGGGTGGCCTCCCGCCCTTCTCCCCGGGCCGCCTGAGCCGCGGGCTGTCTGAGCACAATGCACTCCTGCATGGGGACCAGCAGCCGCCCCCAGCCGCGGTTGCCCGCATCGGCTCCGACCCCTACCTGGGCCACCGCGACGCCGCCGACAGCCCGGTGAGCACCGCGCCCGAGGACACGCTCACCTTCGAGGAAGCCGTGGCCACCAACTCGGGGCGTTCCTCCAGGACTTCTTACGTCTCCTCCTTGACCTCCCAATCTCACCAAGCGCGCCGGGTGCCCAATGGCTACCATTACACGCTGGGGCTCAACACGGGGCCCGGCACTGGCACCAGGGGACGGAGCTACTACCACGAAGCCGACGAGGACGACTGGTGCTAGCGGCACAGCCAAACCCTCGGAGGCACACACGGGGAAAGTCGATGAGTTTTATCATCTGGAAGGCTGTGCGCTCAGACGTACAGTGCCGGGGGGTGGCCCCTACTGCCAGAACTGCTCTGCCCCACTCCGAGACCTCCGGAGACACTTGTGCAGCCTCTCTCCTGCCTCTCTCTTCTTTTTATTTTCTTCTTCTTCTTTTTTTTTTTTTTTTTTTCCACCAAGGAAGAAGGCTCCCTCCCAGGGGGCAGCACACCTCTCCCCACCTCCTGCTGCTTTCAAAGACGTGCACCAGATGCCCAACCACGAGGCCTGCACGGAGCCATCCCTGTCAGCAGACAAGTAGACCACCAATGCTTTTTTGGGATTGGCACTGTTTGGTGCCAATTTGTTTGACCAGTTGATTGGTCAATGGATGGTTGGGCTACCACTTCATTATTATTTTTTTCCTCTCCCCACCCTTATTTGGGCAGGAGTCAGGGTTGCAAAAGGGACACCGGCAAACAAAGCTCGACCCCGTGTTTTATCTCATTTCCCGCTAAGAGGGAAGAGATCTACCTAGTGAACTGGGAGAGGAGAAAAAAAAAAAAAACAACAACACAGATCAGAACAAAGGACAGTCCATTGGGACTTGATGTTCAGCCACAGCGACCCTTCCCAGGAACTCGCTGCTTTGCCCCGGACCTCTCACGTGCATCACCACTTCGGGTCCTCCACGCCCACCAGAAAGCCACATGAGAGCTCCTTCCTAAGGACTGTTTCCTTGCTGCTGAGACTTTTCTTCCTGTCCCTCTCTCCTGTTGACTGCAACATGCCCTCACTGTTTTGTCTTGTTTACAATATAAGCTTGATTTAGCAAAAAAAAAAAAAAAAAAATTCCACAAAAACTAAAAAAGGAAAAAAAAAAAAAGGAAAAAAGGAAAAATGCGTAGAGTTGAGCAGAGGAAATGTTATTGGTTTTATATCAAGCTATTAGATAGAACTTTAACTTTTCATTGTGTGCATTTTTGTAAATTGTACAGTAAAAAAAAAAAAAAGAGAGAAAAAAAGGAAAAAAAAAAATTACTCTTTATGTAGAGAATTAGTCCAATTGTCATTCCAGGTCCCACCGTTTCTACCGAATGCTCCAGTTGTTCACTACTAAGTGCCTAACCTTTGAAATCTTTCACGGCAACAACGACGCAAACTCTTGCTTCGATGCATCGGACGTGGGGGTAGCGGGGCCTGGGGCAGCGCCTGCAGGAGCTGGGGATGGAGCTCCCGTGGCGAGCACATTGCCTGGGCTGGGTTGGAAGATGATAGTGGGAAAGGCAAACACGCTTTGGGGTTGGTTTGGTGATTTTTATTTTTATTTTTTTTTTTGATTTTTTTTTTTAATTATTTTTTGGCTTTCTTTTCTTAAATATAATTTAGTTGTTGAGAGCGGGAAGGGTGTAACTGCAGCAGTTGAAACTGGCCTTGTCTCATTGTCTGGTGTTGTCTCGTTGGCCGATGTTTAGGTCCTGTGGGAGAGCTGCAGTGATGCTCCCAGAGGAGCAGCGCCTTTCCCATTGCATGTCTAGAGTTGTAGTTGGGCTGCGGGAGCCGTGGCCATGTCCCGTGGTGCGTCGTTTGTGTTGGGGGCAGATGGAGAGAGTCTTGTTTTTAATTGCCTGTTAAGAAGAAAACGAAACAAAAATATCAAAACCTCTAACTCTGATTCTCAGGGATGAGATTTCTGTGTTCTTGCAATGACTTTTCCGTTGGACGACTTTTAATTTTGTGCACGTGTGGATTTCTGCACTTTGAGCCTGGGAAGGAGGCACAGATGACCTGGCAATGGGGAGAAAGCACCAAAAGAATCGCCTGGGCAGGACCTGGTGTCCATGGCTTTGGAGAACCTCAGTAGGGCTAATTTGGTGCACGGGAGGCCAGAAGCCAAGCAGTTCCTGGGCAGAAGGTTAAAGCAGGAGGGGTGGGAGGTGCCCGTAGAGCACGTTGCTAAAAGTAACGATAGGAAATGGTTGGACAGTTGAATTATTTCAGAGGATCAACCGAGCCCCAGAACTGTGGAACTTCTCAAGGCAAAGCTTGAACCGGGTGGAGATCCCGGCACGACCTGCTGATAGGTTTGGACACGAGGGTGGTTTTAGGGTGTTGGAGGCTACCAAAACACTCAGGAGGTCTCTGATGCTCTCAGCAAGGTCCTTCCGGGGATTTGTGCTGGGAGCATCCTGCTGTAGGATGGTTCTTCACATCTCCTGTAGCTTTTCTGTTGGAGAATTTCAACCTGTCGCGTTCCGTTGCGTGTTTTTTGTTCCGTTACTGAATGATAATCTCTGGCCGATCTCATCCCTGGATTCTGCTAAAGGAAAACTCCTGTCTCTGTCTCTGTATTTATGTGCACTTTGAATAAAGGAAGTGCGGTAGCCAGAGGTCCTCTATGGGTAATGGCTGTAATTTGCAAACGGAGGGCTATGCAACAAGATGACACGTAAGGAAACACATCCACACCACAGTCAGTGAGACCTTCATCCATTCTGTAGCTTTATCTGCTGGATCTTCCTGTTTCGGGCTTCAGCATGATTGTGACCAAATGTTTTATACATTTTCCTTACACGAAGGCACAAAGGCTTTATTTGAAATTTTAAAGAAAAAAACGTTACTCTTTTACTCCAAGGAGGAGAGGAGAAAGCGGAGCCTCTCCAACACTGCATGCAAACATTGCACCCACACCGCAAAGCAAACGAGCCGTCTTTCTGCACCGAGCAGTTTTGCCTTTCCTCCCCCTTGCCTCGCCCCTTCCTTAGTCATTCTCAACCTCAGCCCCCACGGCCCCACGCCAATTCTCCCTCCCTCAGCCCTATAGGGGTGTGGGATCGCTCCGATTCTTGCACAGAACACAAAGCAGAAGCTCCACTTGTCCGACCCTCCGCCCTCCCCATAGGGGTCGTTGCTTCCAGCGATGGCGGTGACAGAGGAGCCCAACCACGGTTGTCCATAGAACCCTTTCCCCTCTACGTTTACAGCCTCGTCTCTTCAATGCATACACCATAACTCCAAGGGTCCTCATAGTGAGTTGCCAAACTTAAATTGCACCAATCAGTTTTCTGCATCCAGAACCAGTCTCGTAGTGGCTGTACTTTGAATAAGTAATGTTTGCATGTAAAATATATACATATATACATATTATATAAAAAGTATGTGCATGGAAAATGTTTATCTTCGTACTTTTTTGATACGATGTATTCATCAGTTGTTAATTTTTAATTATATTTGATATAAATTGGGGGTTTGTTGCAAAACTTTCTATTTAAAGAAAAGGAAAAAGAAAAAAAAAGGTGTTAAAAATTACGAAGGTTCCAACCATGCAACACAAATGGAACTTTACCCAAAAAAAAAAAAAAAAAAAAAAGGAAAAAAAAAGAGAGAAAAGATTCTGTGATTGCCTAGTTTGCTGCCTGAGTACCATTTATCAGCCAAACTTTGAACTCTGCAGTTGTTTCTACAATTACATTTTGTATGAAGCAAAGTCCTTGAATTCAAATAAAAACTTAGCAAAAAAAACAACCAACCAACCAAACAACCTGACCAAGTCCCAGCCAATGTGTGCAGTGGTGAATGGGAGCCCGCCTGCTGCTGCAGGCCATCGCTCCCAGCGTCAGCATGGGAAGGAAGCTGCATGGAGGGCCCAGGTTGGGTGCTGTAAGAAATGGAATGGACGTTTTTGGTGTTACCTTGGGGCACTGTGAGCGTGGAAATCAGCAGTGTGAGGTCTGCTGATGGCTGGCACGCTGCTACTACTAGTGATGATGGTGCTTGCTGAGAAGACCTTGAAGTTCTTGCCCTGAGCAGAAGGCAAACCCAAGGGCTGCTGGCACACGAGGAAGGAACTTCTCATTTCTTTTGCTACCTTATTCCCCACCAGGGCTGAGCACTCTGTGGATCTCCCTCCCTGGGCTCTGCTGCTGTGACCCTTCTGACAGCTCCAAAGACTCCCCAGTGTGGAGTTAAAACAATTATAGCAGCTGCAGAGCACCCCTGGGGAGGAGCATTGCAGTTTTTTCAGTGCACTTCAGAGCCCGAGGTCTGGTTTAGGATTTGCTCTTGTTCTTCCTTGCTGTGATGAGGTCCCACCTGGGGTTCCTGTGAAGGGCTGTGTGAACACAAGGAAGGTCCTTTTGGTCACCAGGTCAGGATGTAGCACAGGAGGAAGATGGATTGGCTTGAGGTCATTCAGTGAGTTATTGGCAGAGTGTGGAGCAGAATCACTTCCCTTGGCTGCTGTCTGGGCTGTGCAGGCTCTGTGTTCCTTAGGAACAAAGGGCAGAGGAGCATAAAGAAGAGCAAGGATTGTCTTTTATTTTTTGAGCTACACCAAACCGAGGGGTGATGTGGAGATTTCTGAGTGCTCCCGAGGCAGCGTCCATGGGAAGAGCAGCAATGCCATCCGTGCAGTGCAGCTGTGGGGCTTTGCACGGCTCTGTCCCCCCAAAGGGCACCGCTGCGTTCCAGCGTCGGGATCCATCGCAGCCCTGCAGATCCCATCAGGGCTCCGGAGCAGCATTTCCCACTCCCCACACCTCGTGCTGCCGTTAGGGGGAAGCATTCTCAGACCTTTGCTATTTCTTAGCGGAAAAAAAAAAAAAAAAATACTGGAAAAGGGCCGATTCGTCTCTCACCGCTGCTCCTTTGAGGTCGTTCCTCCCAAAATATTCACCTGAGGGTGTGGGTGGTGCTGGTGAGTGCCCCACACGGCCCACAGCACGGTGCAGCAACCCCAAACGGCTCGTGGATGGTGCTCCCGTCCTCAGAGCTTCGGGAAGTGCCACTTCCTGAAGGGCCTGATTATAGGATGGTCACTTAACGCTTCCCTCCAGCAGATCCCCGGCTATTCAGCCAAAGAGGATGCTTTGATTCCAATGGGAAGTGGGGGATATGAAGGGCAGCGTGGTGAAGGGCTGCTGGGGTCAGCAGCAGAGCAAGGACAAGGTGACCCGAGCGGGTTCCTCCTGCCTTGGTGTTTAGCTGTGTTCAAAACAACCCCAGTTTCATCCCCATCTCCATTTCCTGGGACTGCTCTGAAGGCGTTGGTTGTGCACTGATCCACCTGAAAGCTCCCACAGCAGCAGGGTGCTGCTGCAGGAAGGGAGTGAAAGGCATTGCATGCGCTACCTCCCATCCCCCCAGAAATCCACAGCAGGACAGAAAGATGCAGCAGAGGAACGTTGTGCTGGGCCAGAAGGTCAGCGCTGTGCGAATCGATGGGAATCAGCAACACCTGAGAAAGAAAAGCCCAACCCGCACCGCACGGCTCTGAACGCAAAGCAAAGGGCTGCTCGGGCGCTCCTGAGCTTTGTGTGCAAAGCCACGAGGTGGGAACGGGCGCGGGGAGGAGGCGATCCGGAACCCCCAGCAGCCCGCGGTTGCTCAGGAAACCCGCGTGTGTGCACGGCCCCGCTCAGCACATGGGGAGGGGGCCACGCGATTCCCCCCGCCCCGTAACATCCGTGCCCACCCTTCCCGTGCTGGGGGCGGAGGGATGAATGGAGGGAGGGCAGGAAGGTGCCCCTCCTCACCCCCTCTCCTTCTAGCCCCCTCCCCTTATCTCCT